AACTGTATTAAAACTTTGCAGTACAAAATAATGACTAGACAGCGCTATTTTCAGCAGATGCAGCCAAACTCATTTAATTTTAGCAGCCCCTTTTTATCATTTATTTTTTTGGTAAAATTATAGTTAGAGATTCAGGGGAAACCACTCTTACTAACAGATGGCCGATGTTTATATTGATATTGCAAAGCTTGCTGGTAAACACTGCTGTTTAAAGTTAATTTCTGGCCTATAGGCCTAGATCTCTATATTAATTTGATAAACTATTACGAAGTGACTACATCGGCCATATTATTATTAGTTAAATTTAACCATTGATTTTGGTTTATTATTCTAATATTTGACACAACTATGTCACAATATATACTTCTATTAAAGGCATAATTTTACGTACCCAAAACGATAGATTCTGTGATAGATCTAGATCTAGAATCTAGATTACCGCGGATATCATCTTTATTAAATAATATTAATCTTTACCTTTTAAACTTTTTTCCACATTAATGATTATTAGATCTCGGCCGATTTTACGTAGGCCTACCTAAAACGATAGATTACCCGTACCTGTTTTTAAACAATGGTATTAATTCTTTTCAGTAAAAAAATAAAGAATAAAGATGTTTTCATCAGATGCAACCAGGCTCATTTACTTTAGCAGCCATCTTGTTTAAGTTTTTTTTTTTTTATAGGCCTAATATTGTAGTTTGAGATTCAGTGGTAGGCGCGTTTACACTTATAACATGTATACTAGACTTGACCTACTAAAGTGTATACTAAACATGTTACGGGTATATGGAACATCTTCTGAGTCGCAGGGCACAAAACCACGCCCCTTTTTATGTTCTGGGTCAAGTTTTTGTCTTCGCTCGCTGAGCGAAAACATACTACATGTTCTGAATTTTCAGATGAGTGCGCATGCGTCAAAAGCAGTAAGTGCATCCTAGGTCTCAGCTGATTGTAAAATTAAATATAGATTCTAGGCCTACTGATTTTGAGTTTTTGAGCACACGATTTCATAATGTATAACTTCTCTAGGCCCTACTAAAATTTACATTTTTATAATTACTTATTATTTCTTTAATTAGTCCACATTCCAAACACGTTTTAAAGAAATAATGTAATGTCTAAGGAATTACAATTTTGTCTTAAAACCAGTTTAGGTATTAATTACAAAAATAATAGTTAATTTAAAAATATTTAACCAAATTTATCTCCAATTTTTCCTTGACCAATATTTTGTTTTAAGTGTATCAACATATTTTCAGTTTCCGTCTGACATGAATAAATCTTTAGGCCCACCCCCCAGAATCATTGTTTCTTCCAGACTTTTTTCTCCGGGGGGGGGGGGGGGGAGGGCACTTGATATTTTTTTCGGGAGGGGGGGTCAACACTTTTCGGGGGGGGGGGGGCGGTCGGACTCTGGTAAAAGTATATATTTTCAATATAAATTCCATTTCGTTCTCGGATTCCCCCCCCCCCCCCCCCCCGAAGAGATGCCTGGAAGAAACTCTGACCAGAATATGTTCGTGGGATCACACATAATCAACTAACTATAAAAACAGGCGGATAAAGATGTCATAGGCTAATTATTTAGGTTTAAAATGGGACATAATAAACATACAGAAATGAAGTGGGGGGGGGGATGTCATAGGCCCTACTCTAAAAACTAGATCTACTTTTATTCTTAATAATAGACTCAGTATAGTTATAACACGATCTGAATACGTTTAATGAACTTGGCAGATGGAAGTTTTTGGAGAAATCGGGCCCTTACTTTCAGCAAACAAATATTTTGCCCTATTTATTGGAAGGATATAGACAAGCAATTAAAATTTAAAGAAGCTGGGGAAATGGCTACCATGGGGTTGGGGTGGGAAGCAGAGTTTCTTCCAGGCATCTCTTCGGGGGGGGGGGCACCGCCCCCCGAAGAAAGTCTACCGCCCCCTACCCCAAAACGAAATGGAATTTATATAGAAAATATATACTTTTGACAGTGTCCGCCGCCCCCCCCCCCCTCGAAAATTTCAAGTGCACCCCCGGAGAAAAAAAGTCTGGAAGAAACACTGGTGGGAAGTGGTGATTGTACTGTGGGATGGGAGGAAGGGGTAATAACATGTGGGTAATGTCTACTACCCGCGCTATTATACACAGCATTATATTTATTAAAAACTGTCTAGCTCCAGTAGCTGGCACTCCAGTAAAATTTATAAAATCTTGCATGTTCTCTAATTTTTAGATAATTCATTGTTGAATCGCAAGCACCGTGGCTACACCATTTATTTTTTTTTAAATAAAGCTGTGTGCCCACTATCTACGTTTTTTTTTACTTTGATTACTCTTTATGTTATTTGTCTAGGCCTATATAGCAGACGCTCCGGGTCAAAGGTCAGGCTTGTTTTATAAAATGTTATATAACATGTTCTGTAAGTGTGAACGCTAAAGTATACATGTTCTGTGGAGAAAATTGTTCCAGATAAAAATAAATTTTGGCGGGCTTTGTGTTCTGGAAATGTATAGTATACATGTCGTAATTGTAAACGCGGAGGGTTTTTTTTTTAGATAGCATAGGCCTAGCCAGATTTTGACCTTGTAATTTTTAGCATAGGCCTATTATTGAATTTTGGCTAAATGCTGGTTTACCAGTAAAATGTAGTCCATTCAACACAAATCTTAGCTTAAAAATAATAAAAACGTTTATTATAACCAGATCCAGATTTTATAAATGTAGCCTACTTCTATCTTTAAAAAAAAAGAAAATTATTAACGCAACTAAACATACCTCACTGCTTATATCCGCCTAATCAGTGTAAAGTCAGAGAATCGTAGGTCTAGTCTTGTAATGTCATAACATTGTGTCCGACAGTCAGCTAGAAGTATGCCGTCAGATTTCAGTATTGTCATAACATTGTGTCCGACAGCCGGCTAGAAGTATGCCGTCAGATTTCAGTATTGTCATAACATTGTGCCCGACAGTCAGCTAGAAGTATGCCGTCAGATTTCAGTATTGTCATAACATTGTGCCCGACAGTCAGCTATAATGCCGTCAGATTTCAGTATTATCATAACATTGTGCCCGACAGCCGGCTAGAAGTATGCCGTCAGATTTCAGTATTGTCATAACATTGTGCCCGACAGTCTGCTAGAAGTATGCCGTCAGATTTCAGTATTGTCATAACATTGTGCCCGACAGCCGGCTAGAAGTATGCCGTCAGATTTCAGTCTCTCGACGATGACTCTCTCTAGGCTTGCTGCATCATTTAAATGTATCTCGATATAAACTAAAAATGTTTCATTGATAGTTATTTTTTTAGTTTGAAAATCAACATCCATAAATCTTGAGTCAAATAGATACCATAAAACTTCTTTTCCTGATATCACTCAATACTTGCTTCTTTACATTACAGCCGACGTAACTATGTGAACATTCTGATTTCCGGTAACAAATAAGAAATTAATCTCGGATTTTCTTCTGCGTGTTGGCTGTGGTATGCCAACAGTGGCTCATACAGCGCAACAAGTTTGATCAGCGCTAGAAAGTTTCCAACAAAAAATGTATCGGGTGACCGCGGGATTTTCGTGACATCTTGCCTTGATCCAATGTATTTCGGAGAAATTAATATCACGGATTCTTGTATCGCTACTTGATCCGTAATTATTAAGTCTTATCCGGACTATCACGCACGCGCGCGCGCACACACACACACACATATATATATATATATATATATATATATATATATATATATATATATATATATATATATATATATATATATATATATATATGGGGGGCAGGACGCTATATTGAAAGCTTGTCCCCGGGCGCCGAAAGGGGTCTCTACGCCTCTGCAAAATAGTAATTAAGTACGCCATAGCGAGATAACACGTGTAGGTATCTATATTGCGGAACCCTTGACGTCACGACACATATATACACCATGAATCGTGTCAACGCCACCGACACAGGCGGGCGTTGATCGTGTACACGCAGTTGCTGTGTTTGGGGTCGTCCATAAATGACGTCACACGCGTAGGAGGGAAGGGGGGAGTCCGTAATTTTGTGACGGTGTGTGATGAGGTGGAGGGGGTGGGGGTGTTCAGATGGTGTGACGTCACACTTTTAATTATAAAAAGCATGTTAGAAAACGAATTTTAGAGGTTATTTCGCGCTTTAGAAAACTTAAAAAATTGTAATAGGAATGCAGTGTTGACAGAGTTCAGACAAGATTTTGGAAAAATTTTAAAAATTTTCTGGGGAGGGATGAAGCACTGGCAAAATAATATTTTCTATATAAATTCTATTTCGTTAAAGGGCCACCCAAACCCACTACCCTCAACCCCCCCCGCCCCCGTTCAGTGGACTGAGAGAAACTCTAAATGAGACTTTCGTCCCGTTTCCAGTTAAATTGAAAGCGTCCGTTGTGTCTCCCTCAACGGGCCATTTATCTCGTAATATAATAATTAGACTATATATAATTAGGCCCAGAGGCGTAGCGAGGGGGGCGGGGGGTGCGGACCGCACCGGGTGACACCATTTAGGGGGGGGGGTGTGACACCAAGGCAAAAAATAGCAAAATATATAGAGAAAAGGGGGGGGGGGGTGCAAATCAAAAGTTTGAGCGGGGGTGCAAATCGAAAATTTGAAAATTTGAAAGCTTGGCCCCGGGAAGGGTCGCTATGCCTCTGGGGGGTGACACCATTAAGTGCCGCACCGGGTGACACACGACCTCGCTACCCCTATATTATGCCTATATATATAGTTAATGAAAGTCATTTCCTTTTTTTCATTTTTAGTGTATAATTACATAAAAGCTTGTTTATATATTTTTTTAAACATAGTCTAATCACGTAATGGCAATAAGGCCTTTATAATTATAAGAGCAAAGTTCTAACTCACATTTCAGATTTTCTTTATAAAAGTAATTATTCCACTTTCTGAATTTGAATTTTTAAGGGATTCCATAACAGCTTGGAAGAATACATTTAAAAATAGACATTGCGTCATTTCATCCTTTTCCGGTTCATGTTAACCTGTGTTACACATGCGTTGCTGCGAGGGAACCAACAGAAATGCATTTGAGGTCGAGATCTATATAGATTTCTCTATTTTCTCGATCAAATTTAGATCTAGATCTATAGGGAATTTAGATCTACGCACGTATTCTTATCTTTGATATCTAGAGTCTAGAATCGAGTTTTTAAAATAAAATCACACTCACAGACAGTTGAGACAGTGAGTCAGTGTAGTAGTGTGTGACAGTGACACTCACTCAGACTCAGTCCAGCCAGTAGATCTTCTAGATTTAGAATTTAGATCTAGATTTCTAGATCTAGCAGGATTTTGGTCTTATTCTAGAGAGTAGACTCATAGCTACTAGGTCTAGTTCTTTAGATCTAGATCTACTTCTAACTAGAATAGATCTATTACTACACTAGCTAGTCTAGTTCTAGATTCTTGAAGGCCTAACTCAATTTTATCCAGGTTAGTGGACTTTAATTTAAAAATCTAGAATCTACGGCATTCTAGGCCTACTTATATTTATGAATTTAAAATTTTTGTTTGTATATTAAATATTATAGGGTTGTCGGTATCGGCCAAGATAGCGGTAAAAACATGACCCGAAATCGCCCATTACTTTCTGACACCGGGCGCACGAGATTTGGTTTTGCATACTAATAAGTTTTTAATTTATGGTAATTAATTAAGTTTAAAAGGTCATTTCCTAATGTTAAATGAAAAGTAGAATGGTTTTCCCATTGTTTTGATGGCTTGGCGATCTGATTGCACGCTGTCTCTGCTTTGGTCTTCCCCCTGTATGAAGGCTAGTTTCAAATACGTTGGAATCACGATTTTTTAAAAGGTTATTCTAGATGAGAGAAGATTACTGAGCAGACATATCTTAAGTATGTTGAAATGATATTTTGACTCTGACATTAGATACACTCGTTTAGAGGTAGTCACTGTATGTAGGTCGCGTTGCCACCATTGTTATATTTTTTCATCCCGATCTTCCGGCCTTTAAGTTTGATCAACTAACAACAGCATTCTTATGGAATGTGCAAACAAATTTCCTAATTGTTGTTTTCAAAATATATTTACATACCCATCTTAAATTTTTCAGCTCTAGTTCTAGTTTTGCAGAATATGTTTTTCCTAAAATCCAATTTTGTCAGACTAGACTGACAAGAGTCAGACCTAGGTTACCTGTCTGTTGTTATACACTAGCATTGTGCTAACTGCAATTTTAAGTATTCAAGTTCTACTTACTCTTAGATATAGTTATATGCTGAAAATCAGAATCCATACACAATTCACACATAAAAACATTGATCTGATAACTTCATTTCACTTATTAAAAAATGGCTTATATGGACTCTACTTCACCTGCCCAAAATAACAAGGCAGTTATAGACACATTACAGTTTTCAAGTCATTTACTTTAGATTTCTGACTATGGAGTTCTTTTATTCACTGTATTTATATAAAATATTGCTTTAGAAACATTTTCATATTTGCGCAGCAGTTTTATAAGAAAATGGCTTAAAGATGGACTCTACTTCACCTGCCCAAGATAACAGTGTTCCCTTATTAGGCCATATAACTGCTTATCATATTGTAGAGATGTGCTGGTTTTTTGAAGTGTAGGTTCTATCTGGAAAAGTAAACAGTACATTATTTGCTTTCACATCAAAATAAATAAAATGGTTTTTCTGAAGACACTAAATATTGAATGTTTATTGCTAATACAGCTCCAGACCTTCCCCTCCCCCCCCTCTACTCCACTACCTTCAATATCAAAACATCGTTCGCCACTATCGCCGGCGTCAAAACATCGTTCGTCACTATCGCCGGCGGCAAAACATCGTTCGCCACCCCTGCGAAGTTGAAAATGTTTTAAGCGCAGAAACCTCCCCATTAATATTCTCAACAACTTCCCAAAGTTACACAGCGATGTGATAAGAGGTGTGGTAAGAGACACAGACAGACATACATACATACATTGCTTTTTATATATATACTAGCGTACCCGTCCCCCGCGCGTTGCCGCGGGGATAGAAGTAAGTTTGACGAAATGTATTAGGAGGAATTCACCAACGCGTTACCAATCATATGTTCTTAGACGCCAGACCGTCTTTTCTAAAAGTGAGTTATTTAAATGTTAACAATGCTTGCGCTTGGATCATAAATATCGGGACACGGGTTTACCTACACTACCGCATGAAACCATTGAATGTACATTAATCACTCAACGAAATAATATGGTAGAACACACTTCGGTGACCGCCCACGTGTCAGAGACGTAGAGGGGCGCTCTCAGGGCCCCCACCCCACGATTACACTACCGCATAGGCGCGGCGTACGACCCCTGGCTCCTTAAAACTAACAGGCGCCATCGTGCCAAATAGCATCCTGTTAATAATGATGCTGATTTCGTCATTCGCTAAATTGACACAAATGAACAGGATTTTTTCTTTAACACGTAAATAAAGTATTTGACGTGTTTTAAACATCAGTGTGACTGATCAATATGCTAGCGTTACTAATGGTCTATTATTAGATGCTCGATCTCAATTTCTGACTGGATTGTCTAATAATAGATGCTTATTGCATCATTCGCAAAGTGACGAAACTCTACAGTAGGCTACTCATATTCAAAAAGTTATTTTTTCATCTTTGGCAAGGTGACGAAACTGTACAGAAGGATTTCCTCTCGTACAAAGTTATTTTTATAAGCCTGTTGTAGTTTTAACGCTGAATATAGTAGTACCCCTTACTCGCTATGCATGACGCTCGATTAACGGATGCCAAGTGCCAACATCGTCGCTCTAAAACTCTGGGCGCCAAACCGTGTATTGACGAAAGTTGTACCCTATATGGCGCTGCCCATAAGAAACTTTAGTTTTCTTTTTCGCAGAAATATTCTGTGGAGTATTCTCATCCACTCCCTAAAGTTTCATGGAACTCGGATCCGCATCCGAGTTTTATTTTTTATATACCGTGTATAGAGAAAAAAATCGCTCGATGGGGGGGGGGGGGGGGGGGGCGCCGCCCTTGCAATATTAAACAATATTTTTTTTTTTTTTGCAGAACCCTACCATTGAGTGATCTAATCATCTCCCCACAGTTTCGTGGTACACGGATGAATGGTGTGAAACCGAAATAGACTTTTATTTTTATAAACCGTATATAGAGACAAAAAATCGCAGCCCCCGTAGCGCCGCCCTTGCGAAATTAAAAAAAGGATTTTTGTTTTACAGAACCCTTCCCTGAATTCTTCTAATCAACTCCCCAAAGTCTCATGGCTATCGGATAACGGTGTCACACCAAAATCGACTTTTATTTTTATATACCGTATATAGAGAAAAATCGCACCCTCCCGTGGCGCCGCCCTTGCGAAATTAAAAATAATTTTTTTACAGAACCCTTTCCTAGAGTTTTATAATGAACTCCCCAAAGTTTCATGCCTATCAGATGAACGGTGTCACTACAATTCACTTTCATTATTTTTCTATACCGTATATAGAGAAAAATAGGACCCTCCCGTGGCGCCGCCCTTGCGAAATTAAAATATATTTTTTTACAGGACCCTTCCCTAGAGTGGTATAATGAACTCCCCAAAGTCTTATGGCTATCGGGAGAACGATGCCAAACCAAAACCGACTTTTCTTTTTATTTACGGTATATAGAGAAAAACAAATCGCGCCCTGCCGGGGCGCCACCCCTGCGAATTTGAAATTTTCTTTTCGCAGAAACCTCCCTAGGAATATTTTCAACAACTTCCTAAAGTTTCATGCCTATCGGATGAACGGTGTCACTGCAATTCACTTTTATTATTTTTATATACCATATATAGAGGAAAATCGCACCCTCCAGTGGCGCCACCCTTGCGAAATTAAAAATTATTCTTTTACAGAACCCTTCCTTAGAGTGTTATTATGAACTCCCCAAAGTCTAATGGCTATCAGATGAACGATGTCAAACCAAAATTGACTTTTTATTTTTATATACCGTATATAGAGAAAAACAAATCGCGCCCTGCCGGGGCGCCACCCCTGCGAATTTGAAATTTTTTTTTTCTCAGAAACCTCCCCAGGACTATTCTCAACAACTTCCCAAAGTTTCCAGCGATGTGATGAGAGGTGTAGTAATGCATAAAGGACAAACACACACACATACATTGCTTTTTATATATATAGATATAGACTAGACACCTACTAATGTCATTAGAGTAATTTTTTATTAATTATTTTTATTTTTGACTTAATAAAGTAGCGTCCACACGTATTTTCCTCTTTTTGGCTTCAAATTCCTCTTTATAGGCATGACTGTTTCTACTTTTGGCTGACAGGGGTAGGCATGTCTGAATGACATAGAAATGTTTGCAACATGAACTTCCATTTTTATGTCATCTTGTAGGGTAGGGCCTACAGGTGATGACAGGGTTTAGATATGTCATGTCTCGTTCAATAAATTAAAGCTTTATATAGGGTTTAGATATGTCATGTCTCTTTCAATAAATTAAAGCTTTATATAGGGTTTAGATATGTCATGTCTCTTTCAATAAATTAAAGCTTTATATAGGGTTTAGATATGTCATGTCTCTTTCAATAAATTAAAGCCTTATATAGGGTTTAGATATGTCATGTCTCTTTCAATAAATTAAAGCTTTATATAGGGTTTAGATATGTCATGTCTCGTTCAATAAATTAAAGCTTTATATAGGGTTTAGATATGTCATGTCTCTTTCAATAAATTAAAGCTTTATATAGGGTTTAGATATGTCATGTCTCTTTCAATAAATTAAAGCTTTATATAGGGTTTAGATATGTCATGTCTCTTTCAATAAATTAAAGCTTTATATAGGGTTTAGATATGTCATGTCTCTTTCAATAAATTAAAGCCTTATATAGGGTTTAGATATGTCATGTCTCTTTCAATAAATTAAAGCTTTATATAGGGTTTAGATATGTCATGTCTCGTTCAATAAATTAAAGCTTTATATAGGGTTTAGATATGTCATGTCTCTTTCAATAAATTAAAGCTTTATATAGGGTTTAGATATGTCATGTCTCTTTCAATAAATTAAAGCCTTATATAGGGTTTAGATATGTCATGTCTCTTTCAATAAATTAAAGCTTTATATAGGGTTTAGATATGTCATGTCTCTTTCAATAAATTAAAGCTTTATATAGGGTTTAGATATGTCATGTCGCTTTCAATAAATTAAAGCTTTATATAGGGTTTAGATATGTCATGTCTCTTTCAATAAATTAAAGCTTTATATAGGGTTTAGATATGTCATGTCTCTTTCAATAAATTAAAGCTTTATATAGGGTTTAGATATGTCATGTCTCGTTCAATAAATTAAAGCTTTATATAGGGTTTAGATATGTCATGTCTCTTTCAATAAATTAAAGCCTTATATAGGGTTTAGATATGTCATGTCTCTTTCAATAAATTAAAGCTTTATATAGGGTTTAGATATGTCATGTCTCTTTCAATAAATTAAAGCTTTATATAGGGTTTAGATATGTCATGTCGCTTTCAATAAATTAAAGCTTTATATAGGGTTTAGATATGTCATGTCTCTTTCAATAAATTAAAGCTTTATATAGGGTTTAGATATGTCATGTCTCTTTCAATAAATTAAAGCTTTATATAGGGTTTAGATATGTCATGTCTCTTTCAATAAATTAAAGCTTTATATAGGGTTTAGATATGTCATGTCTCTTTCAATAAATTAAAGCCTTATATAGGGCTTAGATATGTCATGTCTCTTTCAATAAATTAAAGCCTTATATAGGGTTTAGATATGTCATGTCTCTTTCAATAAATTAAAGCCTTATATAGGGTTTAGATATGTCATGTCTCTTTCAATAAATTAAAGCTTTATATAGGGTTTAGATATGTCATGTCGCTTTCAATAAATTAAAGCTTTATATAGGGTTTAGATATGTCATGTCTCTTTCAATAAATTAAAGCTTTATATAGGGTTTAGATATGTCATGTCTCTTTCAATAAATTAAAGCTTTATATAGGGTTTAGATATGTCATGTCTCTTTCAATAAATTAAAGCTTTATATAGGGTTTAGATATGTCATGTCTCTTTCAATAAATTAAAGCCTTATATAGGGCTTAGATATGTCATGTCTCTTTCAATAAATTAAAGCCTTATATAGGGTTTAGATATGTCATGTCTCTTTCAATAAATTAAAGCCTTATATAGGGTTTAGATATGTCATGTCTCTTTCAATAAATTAAAGCCTTATAGACAAAAAATTATGCCATTTCACAATTGTTACCAACCAACTGAAAATAAGCTATTAAAAATTTACAGGCATCCTCTTTTGTACATGAGTATAGTCGCAGAATTCTGCAAATTCTTGCTTGTATTTTCATGAGTACAGTTGTAGGATTGGTCTGGAAAAAAATCCTGATTTACTATTTCTAACGCCAGGAAACAATGTACCAAATAGAGCCTTGCAGTTGTTTTAAAAACATCTTAACTAAAGTAAACAAATCATAGCACATGCTACACAGACTGTCTAGTTAGCCTTTAAAATACCTTAGTAGCCTGTTTAATTTTTGGCTACTGTATTCAGATCTCGTGTCTTCTGTTGTTAATGACAATTGACAACAGGATTAGATAATGGTGTCGTAACTACAAGAAATGTCTGTTGCAGAAGTTGTCATGCCTTCTGATTCTAAAAAGAAAAGAGATGCAAAGAAGAAGGAGGCTGCAAAGTCTCGAGGTCAGAAAAAAGTTTCCAAGCAAGATGGTGATCCTGAGCCTGACGTCAATGAAGGGGAGGAAGCTGAATTAAATGGTGAAGATTTCAATGGAGCTCCAGGTACTTAGATTTGGCTAACTTTTTTTGATAGGAAATCTCAGTGTGTTGATGTTGGCACCAGCCACCCTTACATTACTTGGTGAAATCTTGCACTAGTCAAGAGATGGTTGCCATTCTTTAAACATAATAGAGAAAGTAGGGAATAAGAAAAAAACTGGCTTTATGGCCAAGTTGGTTAACTCATTTTTTTTTCTTCTTGTGTAGAAGAAGAATCTTCAATAGCTGCACTGGTGGATGAAATGGCAATCGCAGCAAAACACAGGTCTTGTACAGGAGTTTTGGCCTCCCACCCTGATAGTCGTGATCTTCACATTCATAATTTATCTATCTTGTTTCATGGAGCAGAGCTGCTTATGGATTCCACTCTGGAACTCAATGTTGGTCGCAGATATGGTCTTATTGGTTTAAACGGCTGTGGTAAGTGTGATGATGGTCTTATTTTTCATTAAGGACAGAATCTTAGAAGAATCTGTACGGCTGTGGTAAGTGTGATGATGGTCTTATTTTTCATTAAGGACAGAATCTTAGAAGAATCTGTACGGCTGTGGTAAGTGTGATGATGGTCTTATTTTTCATTAAGGACAGAATCTTAGAAGAATCTGTACGGCTGTGGTAAGTGTGATGATGGTCTTATTTTTCATTAAGGACAGAATCTTAGAAGAATCTGTACGGCTGTGGTAAGTGTGATGATGGTCTTATTTTTCATTAAGGACAGAATCTTAGAAGAATCTGTACGGCTGTGGTAAGTGTGATGATGGTCTTATTTTTCATTAAGGACAGAATCTTAGAAGAATCTGTACGGCTGTGGTAAGTGTGATGATGGTCTTATTTTTCATTAAGGACAGAATCTTAGAAGAATCTGTACGGCTGTGGTAAGTGTGATGATGGTCTTATTTTTCATTAAGGACAGAATCTTAGAAGAATCTGTACGGCTGTGGTAAGTGTGATGATGGTCTTATTTTTCATTAAGGACAGAATCTTAGAAGAATCTGTACGGCTGTGGTAAGTGTGATGATGGTCTTATTTTTCATTAAGGACAGAATCTTAGAAGAATCTGTACGGCTGTGGTAAGTGTGATGATGGTCTTATTTTTCATTAAGGACAGAATCTTAGAAGAATCTGTACGGCTGTGGTAAGTGTGATGATGGTCTTATTTTTCATTAAGGACAGAATCTTAGAAGAATCTGTTGGCGCACCCATGTGGGCTCATGTGCCAGGAAATGAGATGCTGCAAGTATAAGTTTTATCAATAAGCAGAAATATTTTCTTTTGTTGAGCTGTTAGTGGGAAGGTTTCTTCCACTATTTCTTCAAATGTGTTTAGTTAAAATGTGCCTTTCATTTGAACACTAGGTAAATCATCTTTGCTAGCTGCATTAGCTGCGGGGGAAGTTCCAGTGCCAGATCACATTGATACATTTTTGTTGAGAAGAGAAATGCCTCCCAGTGAGAAAAGTGCATTAGCTTGTGTTATGGAAGTAGATAATGAAAGACATAGACTTGAGAAGGAAGCAGAGGAGTTGGCACACAACCCAGACCCAGGTAACACAACCCAGACCCAGGTAACACAACCCACACCCAGGTAACACAACCCACACCCAGTTAACACAACCCACACCCAGGTAACACAACCCAGACCCAGGTAACACAACCCAGACCCAGGTAACACAACCCAGACCCAGGTAACACAACCCAGACCCAGTGAGGTAACACAACCCACACCCAGTTAACACAACCCACACCCAGGTAACACAACCCAGACCCAGGTAACACAACCCACACCCAGGTAACACAACCCACACCCAGTTAACACAACCCAGACCCAGTGAGGTAACACAACCCACACCCAGGTAACACAACCCAGACCCAGTGAGGTAACACAACCCACACCCAGGTAACACAACCCAGACCCAGTGAGGTAACACAACCCAGACCCAGGTAACACAACCCACACCCAGGTAACACAACCCAGACCCAGGTAACACAACCCACACCCAGGTAACACAACCCAGACCCAGTGAGGTAACACAACCCACACCCAGGTAACACAACCCAGACCCAGTGAGGTAACACAACCCACACCCAGGTAACACAACCCAGACCCAGTGAGGTAACACAACCCAGACCCAGGTAACACAACCCAGACCCAGTGAGGTAACACAACCCAGACCCAGGTAACACTACCCACACCCAGGTAACACAACCCAGACCCAGTGAGGTAACACAACCCAGACCCAGGTAACACAACCCAGACCCAGTTAACACAACCCAGACCCAGGTAACACAACCCACACCCAGTTAACACAACCCAGACCCAGTGAGGTAACACAACCCAGACCCAGTGAGGTAACACAACCCAGACCCAGGTAACACTACCCACACCCAGGTAACACAACCCAGACCCAGGTAACACTACCCACACCCAGGTAACACAACCCAGACCCAGGTAACACAACCCAGACCCAGTGAGGTAACACTACCCACACCCAGGTAACACAACCCAGACCCAGGTAACACTACCCACACCCAGGTAACACAACCCAGACCCAGGTAACACAACCCAGACCCAGGTAACACTACCCACACCCAGGTAACACTACCCACACCCAGGTAACACAACCCAGACCCAGGTAACACAACCCAGACCCAGGTAACACTACCCAGACCCAGTGAGGTAACACTACCCACACCCAGGTAACACAACCCACACCCAGGTAACACAACCCAGACCCAGGTAACACTACCCACACCCAGGTAACACAACCCAGACCCAGGTAACACAACCCAGACCCAGGTAACACAACCCACACCCAGGTAACACAACCCAGACCCAGGTAACACAACCCAGACCCAGTGAGGTAACACAACCCAGACCCAGGTAACACAACCCAGACCCAGGTAACACAACCCAGACCCAGGTAACACTACCCACACCCAGGTAACACAACCCAGACCCAGGTAACACAACCCAGACCCAGGTAACACTACCCACACCCAGGTAACACAACCCACACCCAGTTAACACAACCCAGACCCAGGTAACACAACCCAGACCCAGGTAACACAACCCAGACCCAGGTAACACTACCCACACCCAGGTAACACAACCCAGACCCAGGTAACACAACCCAGACCCAGTGAGGTAACACTACCCACACCCAGGTAACACAACCCAGACCCAGTTAACACAACCCAGACCCAGGTAACACAACCCAGACCCAGGTAACACAACCCAGATCCAGGTAACACAACCCAGACCCAGGTAACACTACCCACACCCAGGTAACACAACCCAGACCCAGTTAACACAACCCACACCCAGGTAACACAACCCAGACCCAGTTAACACAACCCAGACCCAGGTAACACAACCCAGACCCAGGTAACACAACCCAGACCCAGGTAACACAACCCACACCCAGGTAACACAACCCAGACCCAGTGAGGTAACACAACCCAGACCCAGTGAGGTAACACAACCCAGACCCAGGTAACACAACCCAGACCCAGGTAACACAACCCAGACCCAGGTAACACAACCCAGACCCAGGTAACACAACCCAGACCCAGGTAACACTACCCACACCCAGGTAACACAACCCACACCCAGGTAACACAACCCAGACCCAGGTAACACAACCCAGACCCAGGTAACACTACCCAAATAAAGTACACATAAATTCTTGAAAACCTTCAGCTAGAAGTAAAGGTAGCTGGACCTTTCTAGTTTAAGAATGAGTTGATAAATACCAGCACTGTGATACTAGTCAGTATGCTGAGTTGACCAGTGATGAAACTTTCTATCTCCAGAAGCCCATGAGCGCCTCCTGGATGTTTATGAGAGACTTGATGAGCTGGATGCAGGGAAAGCAGAGGCTAAAGCTGGCTATATACTGCATGGTCTTGGTTTTACAAGAGCTATGCAGCACACAAAGGTAAAGTACACATGATAATAATTCTATAGAGTCCTTGCATATGACGTCACGGATCGTTCAGTATGCAAACATCCGCCATCGCTTTGTACAGGTCCGCATTTTAAACCAAGCTTATAGAGATCGGCAATCGACAGAATGTAGACGCTGTCAATGTTTAGCCAATAAGCCTATTTTTATCGAAGCAGTGTGGGTGAAGCAGCGGTAAATAAAGGTAGTGACAGTAAACTTCATTTCAATTAACAAAGCAACTGGTAATAAAACAAATATGCTCGGCCTTCATAAATATTAAATAGCAATTGACCAAAGTCAAAAGTAATAATAAAATTTAATTGGAATATTTATTTAATATTTATATCTATAATCCAGCTCTAAATCTAATCATGTTGTAAATAAAATCTAGATTTAGAGTGACTGGCTAGGCAAAGTAGACATAGAATCTAGAATCTACTTATTTAATTAAATTTAATTAGGCCTACAAAATTTAGACCCATATTTGATTCATAATACACCAATAATTAACAAATAACAAATAGGCCTAATAATAAAAATAAAATTGTCTCTAAGATCTAGAATCTAGCTCTAGATTCTAATAATTTTAGTTAATTTTAGATTGTATGACAAGACTTAGATCTAGAATCTGCTACTTAAGTTAAATTTTAAAAGTAGTTGATATTTTTGTTGTAGAAGGCTTTAATAAATTACTTAGACCTACCTACTATGTGTCTAATGACAGTACTATGTATCTGATACTGGACTGAGTTTAGTTATATTTAGAGGCAGAACAGTGGTACTCAGACTTGCCTACCATCCCGCCAAATTCACCTAAAAACGTAATTTGTTCCGTCATTCCTATTTTGACTCATTATTCCGATTCTTTTGAAAAAAATAATTTATAAAGAAAGGTAATAAAGTGAATTGAAAAAAGGCAGGGAAAAGCCTAGTTTACTTACTATATTTACAAGTATCATCTAATACTAGATCTAGCTAGACTAGATCTACATCTACTAATAGATAATATGGACAATATAGCTACTGAATGTTATTTTTAGTATTTGCAATTGAATTGTAGATTCAGAAATAGATAAGCAGTTTTATTGGGTTTTTTTTTATAGGGGTTAAGTGGTCTCAAATTTGATACTGTAGTGTAGATCTACCAGATCTATTGCTACTAAATCTTGTACTTAACTAGAGTATCTAGAATTTATACTAACTAGATCTAGATTTAAATTATCTATATTACTGCATTTTATGTCAACACAAATATAACTATCTTCAATTCATAAAATTTTTTTACATATTGTTTCTGTTCTGTGGGTGCTCCCAACATATAATGAACACATTTTGAGACACGCCCACCGCTGCGGAACAGTTGATTGGTTACTCGTGGGTGTTCACCACCGTGGCGGTGGACGTATATATCACGTGATTTAGGTCACTTGTTTGCAAGGACTCTATTAGATGAAGCAAAGCCCTCTATTATTATTGGAGCTTGTACACAGTGATTAAAAATGATAATTTTATCCTGGTTAGCTAGACTCCATATTGAGCAATTAGAAATGATAATTTTATCCTGGTTAGCTAGACTCCATATTGAGCAATTAGAAATGATAATTTTATCCTGGTTAGCTAGACTCCATATTGAGCAATTAGAAATGATAATTTTATCCTGGTTAGCTAGACTCCATATTGAGCAATTAGAATTAATAATTTTATCCTGGTTAGCTAGACTCTATATTGAGCAATTAGAAATGATAATTTTATCCTGGTTAGATAGACTCCATATTGAGCAATTAGAAATGATAATTTTATCCTGGTTAGATAGACTCCATATTGAGCAATTAGAATTGATAATTTTATCCTGGTTAGATAGACTCCATATTGAGCAATTAGAATTGATAATTTTATCCTGGTTAGCTAGACTCCATATTGAGCAATTAGAATTGATAATTTTATCCTGGTTAGCTAGACTCCATATTGAGCAATTAGAATAGGTGCCATGTTTTGTGCCTGGTCTAGGCTATTCCCTGATGGTTGAAGTTGAAGATGTGTATTTGAGCAGGTTAAGGACTTCTCTGGAGGTTGGAGGATGAGAATAGCACTGGCAAGAGCATTGTTTATACGGCCGTGTTTGATGCTGCTAGATGAACCAACCAATCATTTAGATCTAAATGCCTGTGTATGGTTAGAGGAGGAATTGAAAACGTAAGTAAAGTGGCTTAGTAGCAGGACATAGACAACTAGAGCATCAGTTTGTTGAGTTGGTGATAGTAGCTTCTTTCTTTCTCTGCAATTTAATTTTTGGTGTTGGAAGGGATTGAGCCTTATCTGCCAGAGGGTTCGAACTCGAGACTCGTATTTAACAACCATGAGTTTTGTCGACTCGACCACGCCTCCAACACAATTAAGTATATGTGGCAACTGGTTATGAGCCATTGAGGCCATTGACTCCAATTTCAGCCTGCATTTCTTTTTGGATTTGTTTCCATAGCCTTTGTCCAACCAAGAACAAACTACAAGGCAGCAGTTGTTTGATTTAGAAGAGTGTCTGTCCCCAGCTAACAAGCCTCATCTGCCAGAGGTTTGGAACTTGAGACTTGTCAGTTGAGCAACCAAGAGCTTTACCAACTCGACCATGCAATCCCTGGTGATAGTAGCAAGACATTCACATTTAGACCAATTACTGATTTTGTTGTGACAGTTCTGTTTTATGTTGAGTGGAATATTTGTTAAACTTTCCTCGAAGCTGATGATAAAAAAATGTCTGAAAAAATGAAATGTTGTGCTGTCCCAAACCTACTGCAGGTACCTGGGCAAGTGGGCTGTCTAGATGTCCCTGGTCATGTGGGCTGTCTAGATGTCCCTAAGCATGTGGGCTGTCTAGATGTCCCTGGTCATGTGGGCTGTCTAGATGTCCCTGGTCATGTGGGCTGTCTAGTTGTGCCTGGTCATGTGGGCTGTCTAGATGTCATCCAATTTGATGCTGCTTGTTTTTCTCAGGTACCCCAGAATTCTTGTGGTGATTTCACATTCTCAAGACTTTCTCAATGGAGTTTGTACAAACATCATCCACATGCACCAGAAGAAACTCAAGTATTATGGAGTAAGTGGTTACAATAGACTAGCTGTCTTGGATTGGGGAATGATGACATAAAAGGCCGAGTTATAGTATCAAAACTCCTACATCCTAGTGTAGTTGAGTTTGGTGCCATGTTCAAATTCCTTGAAGCGAAACAACATTTTCTGATTCCCAATCCAATACAGCAAAATACATGTTGAATGTTGTGCTTTATTATAGACTTGCCAGATAGTTATGAAAAAACAAATTGTTTATGGCATCTTGGTTTATAAATGGTTTCTATCTGGGTTAACCATGAATCTTTTACTTTCTTGTATACAGAGTATAGAGAAAGTATTGTAATTGTGCACAAAAACCACAAGAAATTTTGACAGTTTCACACCTCAGTACATCTTTATATACTAAGTATAGGGGACTTATTTTAATGGGGCAATAATAATAAATCAGGATTTATCCAAATATAGGCGTTGTTTGCGTAATGGAGTCGGAAAAACTGGGTTTTGCAATTCGGTCTGTGTGTGTATGTGTGTCTGTGAACACAATAACTTGAGCACCGTTACAGCTAGGATGAAGAAATTTCATATATAAGTATTGTATCAAATTTGTAGTTGTGTTTCAACTTGTGAGTGATTTCTGGTAACTAGAAGTGGGATTTGTTCTACTTTCAATTTTTCAAATGCCTGTAACTTTTTGAGATAAATAAAATTTCACATGTAAGTAAAAGATCTAATTCTCTGCCTTCTATCAAATTTTGAGTAATTTCTGTTGACCAGAAGTAGTAATTGACTCTATTTCTGATTTCTCAAAAAAAAAAAACCAATATGAATTTATAAAGTACTAACATTCAGTACTATCATACAAATATTGTTTGTCATTCACTTGGTGTGCAAATTCTTTGTTTCTATGAGATTCTATTATATTTTAAAAAGTTTAAGTAATTAAAAATATTGTCTAAATCGCGAGTAGCCATCCCCGTAGTGTTACATAAGAATATTCAAGAAAGTTTAGGGGAGATCACTCCCGCTTTATATTATTTGTTAAATTATAGCTGTTTGATAATCTTGGATCAACTACAACACATATTTACTTAATTGATATGCTTGGATCAACTACAACATATTTACATAATTGATAAGCTTAGATCAACTACAACACATATTTACATAATTGATAAGCTTAGATCAACTACAACATATTTACATAATTGATAAGCTTAAATCAACTACAACACATATTTACATAATTGATAAGCTTAGATCAACTACAACATATTTACATAATTGATAAGCTTAGATCAACTACAACATATTTACATAATTGATAAGCTTAGATCAACTACAACATATTTACATAATTGATAAGCTTAAATCAACTACAACACATATTTACATAATTGATAAGCTTAGATCAACTACAACATATTTACATAATTGATAAGCTTAAATCAATTACAACACATATTTACATAATTGATAAGCTTAGATCAACTACAACATATTTACATAATTGATAAGCTTAGATCAACTACAACATATTTACATAATTGATAAGCTTAAATCAACTACAACACATATTTACATAATTGATAAGCTTAGATCAACTACAACATATTTACATAATTGATAAGCTTAGATCAACTACAACATATTTACATAATTGATAAGCTTAAATCAACTACAACACATATTTACATAATTGATAAGCTTAAATCAACTACAACATATTTACATAATTGATAAGCTTAGATCAACTACAACATATTTACATAATTGATAAGCTTAAATCAACTACAACACATATTTACATAATTGATATTATTTAGGGCAACTATGACAGCTATATACAGACGCGTTATGAACTAGAGGAAAATCAGATGAAAAAGTACAAGTGGGAGCAGGATCAGATAGCTCATATGAAGGTAAGACCTGCGAGGCTGGCTGATAGAATACTGCTTTAGTTGGCGCTACAGGTAAGACCTGCGTGGCTGACTGATAGTTTATTGCTTTAGATGGCGCTATAGCAAACACAATTTCAATGGTTGCTTGTGGACTATATCTCCAGGGTTCCCACAAAGACAATTGTTGGGTATTTTAAAATGAAATTACTTGTTTAGAAAAGTTTGAAAATCCCTCATTTATGTATGAAAAGTTTGTGCTATATTTGAAAAGAGTAATCAGTGCAAAATAAGTTTTCTTAATCAATTTTTACTTTTTTCTTTTATAATTGTATTCATATAAAATAGCGCCATCTTTAGATACCTATATGTATATAAATAGTAGTATTTTCTTACCACACCATTCATCCAATCAAAATTTTAAAAGATATGGAGGTTGTAGAGAACACTCACAAGAAGGTCTGTGTCATTATCTGTATACGGTGGTGCCATTATCTGTATACGGTGGTGCCCCGGTTGCTGTGTGCTATTGAAATCTGAGTTCCACATTGGCTGTTAGTTGATTGGTTGCCCTGGTGCTATTTGAATCAACAGTCCAATTGGCAGTCATGTGACTATAAGAACTATGCCGCCTACATTCGGCTTAAAGAGCATCTTACACTAGGTATCCATTGAACTGCTACAATTGATGACTAAACTGAAAGAGGTATTGCAAAACTTCTCTGTTAAGCTGGCATCAGTTTACTTCATTTAATCAGTAAAATTGGTTCTAAAATATTCATTTTTTTAAAAATGATGAAAAAAAAACATGAGAAACAATTTAATATTTTCCTTGATTTCTGTTTCCAAGTTGACTTGTTTCATCTTGTCTAAGTGGTCCACTGCATGCTGTGTTTAAGGAATCCACACTTCTTTAGTTATCAGAAGAAGGAATAGTAAAAAAAATACTAATTTTTCTAGTAGTTTATGGATTGTAAAATAGTGAAGAGAGTTGTTGTTCTTCAAATGATACAACCCATATGCTTAGTAGTATCTCCTAGTTTAAGTCTGTTTTATTTTTATGCAGTCTTTAAAACCAGTGTTCTGTTTTTTCCTTTTTTACTTTCTCGTATATACGTAGTATAGAGAAAATATTGTAATCGTGCAAAAAAAAAATCGAGATTTTTACAAATCTCGACGTTTTACACCTCACTGATACGGAAAAACATAATTTTGCAATCTTGTCCGTGTGTGTGTGTGTCTGTGTGTGTGTAAACACGATAACTTGAGTACCGTTACAGCTAGGTTGATGAAATTTCATATATAAGTATTTTATCAAAATCTTAGATCCGTATCAACTTTTGAGTGATTTCCGATAACCGGAAGTGGTACTTTTTCTACTTTGAATTTTTCAAAAGCCTATAACTTGAGTACTATTTCAGATAGATAAATAAAATTTCACCTGTAAGTAAAAGATCTAATTCTCTACCTTCTGTTAAATTTTGAGTAATTTCCGTTGACGGGAAGTACTAATTTACGCTATTTCCGATTTCTGAAAAACGCATCTAAATTTATAAAGTACTAATAATATTGCGCACCATTATGAACATCTTTATTCGGCGTTCGCTTGGTGCGCAATACTTTTTTCTATGAGATTCTATTCTATTTTAAAAAGTTTAAGTATTTAAAATGGATTAAAAATCATAACTAGATCTATATCCCGAGTTCCCATCCCCTGTTGTTTTATATAAGAATATTCGAGAAAGTTTAGGGGAGATCACTCCCGGTTTATTTTTTTAGCAACTCTCAAACAAGTTAACACTCCTTGTTTAAGTTATTGTATAGCGCATTTTCTGATTGAATTATTAGATTTCTATGTATTTTTTACCAAAAGAACTCGTTTGTTCCAGAATTATATCGCCAGGTTTGGTCATGGCAGCGCCAAACTTGCCAGACAAGCCCAAAGCAAAGAAAAAACTCTGAAAAAGATGGTGGACAGTGGACTCACAGAGCGGGTTGCATCAGACAAGGTAGATTTCCTCCAACAGTAGACTTTGTGCTACCCTTTCCTCCAACAGTAGACTTTGTGCTACCCTTTCCTCCAACAGTAGACTTTGTGCTACCCTTTCCTCCAACAGTAGACTTTGTGCTACCCTTTCCTCCAACAGTAGACTTTGTGCTACCCTTTCCTCCAACAGTAGACTTTGTGCTACCCTTTCCTCCAACACTAGACTTTGTGCTACCCTTTCCTCCAACAGTAGACTTTGTGCTACCCTTTCCTCCAACAGTAGACTTTGTGCTACCCTTTCCTCCAACACTAGACTTTGTGCTACCCTTTCCTCCAACAGTAGACTTTGTGCTACCCTTTCCTCCAACAGTAGACTTTGTGCTACCCTTTCCTCCAACAGTAGACTTTGTGCTACCCTTTCCTCCAACAGTAGACTTTGTGCTACCCTTTCCCCCAACACTAGACTTTGTGCTACCCTTTCCTCCAACAGTAGACTTTGTGCTACCCTTTCCTCCAACACTAGACTTTGTGCTACCCTTTCCTCCAACAGTAGACTTTGTGCTACCCTTTCCTCCAACACTAGACTTTGTGCTACCCTTTCCTCCAACACTAGACTCTGTGCTACCCTTTCCTCCAACAGTAGACTTTGTGCTACCCTTTCCTCCAACACTAGACTTTGTGCTACCCTTTCCTCCAACATTTTAATTTATAATAATCTGATTCTTTTTAGAATATTAATGCTTTGGTTACATTATTTTAAATTAAATTTGTCCTAAAATCAGATTTAGTAGTAATGGGAATCCAGTAATTTACCAGTCCAACGCATTTCTCAGTATCGGTTGGGGGGTCTAAGAACAATCTTCGACATCTCTATGTTACTATAACTAGATTTTAGATTTAATGTTGAATAATTAATGTCATAGTATTTATTAGTCTGAACTAAGATCTGAATATGATTTAAAATGGCGTAGAATACTATAAAAATATTTCTATTCGATCTATCAGAAGGCCGGGCTAGGACAGATTTTGGAATGAAAAAGATTGATCGCAAAAATCCACAATGTTAAGCACTCTCGTCCATTAAAATTAACAACAGACAGCATGAACTGGAAGATTTAATAATTTAAAAATAAAGGGTCATTTCCGGAAGATATTTGATTTGAAGTCAATTTTCTAACGTGTTTTGCATTGGGCGATTGTATCGGCCGCCACACTACAGAACGGGACTTGCTGGCGATTTTTTTCGGCCAGCCACAACTCGTGGGTTAAAAATTAAATCTACTCAGTTTAGGTTTGACACATTAGGGGCATTTTAGACTTAGCTGAAAAGGGTCTTTAAAAAAAATCAATGAACGTTTTGTAAGTCTTAGATGAAACTGTTTTTAAACTTGTGTTTCAAATGTTGTAAATTGTCCTTGAAATACTTAAAAACTTATAATGCCTTCAATTGTTTGAGAAAATTTGTCTCGGAAATTTTTGATAATAAATTAGCGGGGAATTTTTTTCATTCACCAAATATCGAGAGATTTGGACCAGGTATTAGCCTAGCTTATTCTCGCCAGTTTATGTGCACTTAATTTGAGAGTATATAATAATAGTTGTAAAAACTGGAGAAAATAAGGCATGCTTGAACTGACAATTAGACCAGCCATGTTGTGTACCAGCCATGTTATTGTGTACCAGCCATGTTATTGTGTACCAGCCATGTTATTGTGTACCAACCACGTTGTGTACCAGCCATGTTATTGTGTACCAGCCATGTTATTGTGTACCAACCATGTTGTGTACCAGCCATGTTATTGTGTACCAGCCATGTTATTGTGTACCAACCATGTTGTGTACCAGCCATGTTATTGTGTACCAACCATGTTATTGTGTACCAACCATGTTGTGTACCAGCCATGTTATTGTGTACCAACCATGTTATTGTGTACCAACCATGTTGTGTACCAGCCATGTTATTGTGTACCAGCCATGTTGTGTACCAGCCATGTTGTGTACCAGCCATGTTATTGTGTACCAGCCATGTTATTGTGTACCATGTTATTGTGTACCAGCCATGTTATTGTGTACCAGCCATGTTATTGTGTACCAGCCATGTTATTGTGTACCAGCCATGTTATTGTGTACCAGCCATGTTATTGTGTACCAGCCATGTTGTGTACCAGCCATGTTATTGTGTACCAGCCATGTTGTGTACCAGCCATGTTGTGTACCAGCCATGTTATTGTGTACCAGCCATGTTATTGTGTACCAGCCATGTTATTGTGTACCAGCCATGTTGTGTACCAACCATGTTATAGTGTACCAACCATGTTATTGTGTACCAACCATGTTATTGTGTACCAGCCATGTTGTGTACCAGCCATGTTATTGTGTACCAGCCATGTTATTGTGTACCAGCCATGTTATTGTGTACCATGTTATTGTGTACCAGCCATGTTATTGTGTACCAGCCATGTTGTGTACCACCCATGTTGTGTACCAACCATGTTATTGTGTACCAACCATGTTGTGTACCAGCCATGTTATTGTGTACCAGCCATGTTGTGTACCAGCCATGTTATTGTGTACCAGCCATGTTGTGTACCAGCCATGTTATTGTGTACCAACCATGTTGTGTACCAGCCATGTTATTGTGTACCAGCCATGTTATTGTGTACCAACCATGTTATTGTGTACCAACCATGTTATTGTGTACCAACCATGTTGTGTACCAGCCATGTTATTGTGTACCAGCCATGTTGTGTACCAGCCATGTTATTGTGTACCAACCATGTTATTGTGTACCAGCCATGTTGTGTACCAGCCATGTTGTGTACCAGCCATGTTATTGTGTACCAGCCATGTTATTGTGTACCATGTTATTGTGTACCAGCCATGTTATTGTGTACCAGCCATGTTATTGTGTACCAACCATGTTGTGTACCAGCCATGTTATTGTGTACCAGCCATGTTATTGTGTACCAGCCATGTTATTGTGTACCAGCCATGTTATTGTGTACCAACCATGTTGTGTACCAGCCATGTTGTGTACCACCCATGTTGTGTACCAACCATGTTATTGTGTACCAACCATGTTGTGTACCAGCCATGTTGTGTACCAGCCATGTTATTGTGTACCAACCATGTTGTGTACCAGCCATGTTATTGTGTACCAGCCATGTTATTGTGTACCAGCCATGTTATTGTGTACCAGCCATGTTATAGTGTACCAGCCATGTTATTGTGTACCAGCCATGTTGTGTACCAGCCATGTTATTGTGTACCAACCATGTTATTGTGTACCAGCCATGTTATTGTGTACCAACCATGTTGTGTACCAGCCATGTTGTGTACCAGCCATGTTATTGTGTACCAACCATGTTATTGTGTACCATGTTATTGTGTACCATGTTATTGTGTACCAGCCATGTTATTGTGTACCAACCATGTTGTGTACCAGCCATGTTATTGTGTACCAACCATGTTATTGTGTACCAACCATGTTATTGTGTACCATGTTATTGTGTACAAGCCATGTTATTGTGTACCAACCATGTTATTGTGTACCAGCCATGTTATTGTGTACCATGTTGTGTACCAACCATGTTATTGTGTACCAACCATGTTGTGTACCAACCATGTTATTGTGTACCAACCATGTTATTGTGTACCAACCATGTTATTGTGTACCAGCCATGTTATTGTGTACCATGTTATTGCAGACCGTGTCCTTCTACTTTCCAAGTTGTGGTGTGATCCCCCCACCTGTGATTATGGTTCAACATGTCAGTTTTCAGTACAGTGAAACACAGGTAGGAAACCAGACCAGACCTAACATGTAGGGAACGAGACCAGACCTAACATGTAGGGAACCAGACCTAACAGGTAGGGAACCAGACCTAACATGTAGGGAACCAGACCTAACAGGTAGGGAACCAGACCAGACCTAACATGTAGGGAACCAGACCAGACCTAACAGGTAGGGAACCAGACCAGACCTAACATGTAGGGAACCAGACTTGACCTAACATGTAGGGAACCAGACTCGACCTAACATGTAGGGAACCAGACCAGACCTAACAGGTAGGGAACCAGACCAGACCTAACATGTAGGGAACCAGACTCTACCTAACATGTAGGGAACCAGACCAGACCTAACATGTAGGGAACCAGACCAGACCTAACAGGTAGGGAACCAGACCAGACCTAACATGTAGGGAACCAGACTCGACCTAACATGTAGGGAACCAGACTCGACCTAACATGTAGGGAACCAGACTCGACCTAACATGTAGGGAACCAGACCTAACATGTAGGGAACCAGACCTAACAGGTAGGGAACCAGACCTAACATGTAGGGAACCAGACCTAACAGGTAGGGAACCAGACCTAACATGTAGGGAACCAGACCTAACAGGTAGGGAACCAGACCAGACCTAACATGTAGGGAACCAGACCTAACATGTAGAGAACCAGACCTAACATGTAGGGAACCAGACCCAACATGTAGGGAACCAGACCTAACATGTAGGGAACCAGACCTAACAGGTAGGGAACCAGACCTAACATGTAGGGAACCAGACCTAACAGGTAGGGAACCAGACCAGACCTAACATGTAGGGAACCAGACCAGACCTAACATGTAGGGAACCAGACTCGACCTAACATGTAGGGAACCAGACCTAACCCAGGTAGGGAACCAGACCTAACATGTAGGGAACCAGACCAGACCTAACAGGTAGGGAACCAGACCAGACCTAACAGGTAGGGAACCAGACCAGACCTAACATGTAGGGAACCAGACCAGACCTAACATGTAGGGAACCAGACTCGACCTAACATGTAGGGAACCAGACCTAACACAGGTAGGGAACCAGACCTAACCCAGGTAGGGAACCAGACCAGACCTAACATGTAGGGAACCAGACCTAACATGTAGGGAACCAGGCCAGACCTAACAGGTAGGGAACCAGGCCAGACCTAACAGGTAGGGAACCAGACCAGACCTAACATGTAGGGAACCAGACCTAACATGTAGGGAACCAGACCAGACCTAACAGGTAGGGAACTAGACCAGACCTAACATGTAGGGAACCAGACCAGACCTAACATGTATATACCGGACCAGACCTAATAGGTAGGGAACCAGACCAGACCTAACATGTAGGAAACCAGACCAGACCTAACATGTAGGGAACCAGACCAGACCTAACATGTATATACCGGACCAGACCTAATAGGTAGGGAACAAGACCAGACCTAACATGTAGTGAACCAGACCAGACCTAACATGTAGGGAACTAGACCAGACCTAACATGTAGGGAACCAGACCAGACCTAACAGGTAGGGAACCAGACCTAACAGGTAGGGAACCAGACCAGACCTAACATGTAGGGAACCAGACCAGACCTAACATGTAGGGAACCAGAACAGACCTTACATGTATATACCAGACCAGACCTAACATGTATATACCAGACCAGACCTAACATGTAGGGAACCAGACCAGACCTAACATGTAGGGAACCAGACCTAACATGTAGGGAACCAGACCAGACCTAACAGGTAGGGAACCAGACCAGACCTAACATGTAGGGAACCAGACCAGACCTAACATGTAGGGAACCAGACCAGACCTAACAGGTAGGGAACCAGACCTAACACATGTAGGGAACCAGACCTAACAGGTAGGGAACCAGACCAGACCTAACATGTAGGGAACCAGACCAGACCTAACATGTAGGGAACCAGACCAGACCTAACAGGTAGGGAACCAGACCTAACATGCAGGGAACCAGACCAGACCTAACATGTAGGGAACCAGACCAGACCTAACATGTAGGGAACCAGACCTAACATGTAGGGAACCAGACCAGACCTAACAGGTAGGGAACCAGACCAGACCTAACATGTAGGGAACCAGACCAGACCTAACATGTAGGGAACCAGACCAGACCTAACAGGTAGGGAACCAGACCTAACACATGTAGGGAACCAGACCTAACAGGTAGGGAACCAGACCAGACCTAACATGTAGGGAACCAGACCAGACCTAACATGTAGGGAACCAGACCAGACCTAACAGGTAGGGAACCAGACCTAACATGCAGGGAACCAGACCAGACCTAACATGTAGGGAACCAGACCAGACCTAACATGTAGGGAACCAGACCTAACATGTAGGGAACCAGACCAGACCTAACATGTAGGGAACCAGACCAGACATAACATGTAGGGAACCAGACCAGACCTAACAGGTAGGGAACCAGACCAGACCTAACATGTAGGGAACCAGACCAGACCTAACAGGTAGGGAACCAGACCAGACCTAACAGGTAGGGAACCAGACCAGACCTAACAGGTAGGGAACCAGACCAGACCTAACAGGTAGGGAACCAGACCAGACCTAACATGTAGGGAACCAGACCAGACCTAACAGGTAGGGAACCAGACCAGACCTAACAGGTAGGGAACCAGACCAGACCTAACAGGTAGGGAACCAGACCTAACATATAGGGAACCAGACCTAACAGGTAGGGAACCAGACCAGACCTAACATGTAGGGAACCAGACCAGACCTAACATGTAGGGAACCAGACCTAACAGGTAGGGAACCAGACCAGACCTAACATGTAGGGAACCAGACCAGACCTAACAGGTAGGGAACCAGACCAGACCTAACAGGTAGGGAACCAGACCAGACCTAACAGGTAGGGAACCAGACCTAACAGGTAGGGAACCAGACCTAACATGTAGGGAACCAGACCAGACCTAACATGTAGGGAACCAGACCAGACCTAACATGTAGGGAACCAGACCTAACATGTAGGGAACCAGACCAGACCTAACAGGTAGGGAACCAGACCTAACAGGTAGGGAACCAGACCAGACCTAACAGGTAGGGAACCAGACCTAACAGGTAGGGAACCAGACCAGACCTAACAGGTAGGGAACCAGACCTAACATGTAGGGAACCAGACCAGACCTAACATGTAGGGAACCAGATCAGACCTAACATGTAGGGAACCAGACCTAACATGTAGGGAACCAGACCAGACCTAACATGTAGGGAACCAGACCTAACCCAGGTAGGGAACCAGACCTAACATGTAGGGAACCAGACCTAACAGGTAGGGAACCAGACCAGACCTAACATGTAGGGAACCAGACCAGACCTAACATGTAGGGAACCAGACCTAACATGTAGGGAACCAGACCAGACCTAACAGGTAGGGAACTAGACCAGACCTAACATGTAGGGAACCAGACCTAACGTGTATATACCGGACCAGACCTAATAGGTAGGGAACCAGACCAGACCTAACATGTAGTGAACCAGACCAGACCTAACATGTAGGGAACCAGAACAGACCTTACATGTAGGGAACCAGAACAGACCTTACATGTATATACCAGACCAGACCTAACATGTAGGGAACCAGACCAGACCTAACATGTAGGGAACCAGACCTAACATGTAGGGAACCAGAACAGACCTAACGTGTATATACCGGACCAGACCTAATAGGTAGGGAACCAGACCAGACCTAACATGTAGGGAACCAGACCAGACCTAACATGTAGGGAACCAGAACAGACCTTACATGTATATACCAGACCAGACCTAACATGTAGGGAACCAGACCAGACCTAACATGTAGGGAACCAGACCTAACATGTAGGGAACCAGACCAGACCTAACAGGTAGGGAACCAGACCAGACCTGACATGTAGGGAACCAGACCAGACCTGACATGTAGGGAACCAGACCTAACAGGTAGGGAACCAGACCAGACCTAACATGTAGGGAACCAGACCAGACCTAACAGGTAGGGAACCAGACCTAACAGGTAGGGAACCAGACCAGACCTAACAGGTAGGGAACCAGACCTAACATGTAGGGAACCAGACCAGACCTAACATGTAGGGAACCAGACCAGACCTAACATGTAGGGAACCAGACCTAATATGTAGGGAACCAGACCAGACCTAACATGTAGGGAACCAGACCAGACCTAACAGGTAGGGAACCAGACCAGACCTAACATGTAGGGAACCAGACCAGACCTAACATGTTGGGAACCAGACCAGACCTAACATGTAGGGAACCAGACCTAACAGGTAGGGAACCAGACCAGACCTAACATGTTGGGAACCAGACCAGACCTAACAGGTAGGGAACCAGACCAGACCTAACATGTGGGGAACCAGACCAGAGGCATATAGACATTGGAAAGTTCAAGCACATTTGTAGTATTTCTTGTAACTCTGTAATAGTAACTCAAAAACAAATGAACAAGAAAGTTAGCTGGAACTGTTGTATTTGCTAGAAACACATCTACAAGGATCTGGACTTTGGAATTGATCTTGATACAAGAGTTGCGCTGGTTGGTCCCAATGGAGCAGGAAAGTCAACTCTCCTTAAGTTGATTACAGGAGAGGTTTGTCTTTTTCTTACAATACTAACAAACAGGTGTCCATTTAGTTTCTAACTATGAAAACAAAAATGTAAATTTTTTTTTTTTTGTATCTTGAAGATTATCACCACATTGATTTTTAGCAGCAAAAAAACCCACCCATTTTTACCATTGCTCCATTCTTATGCTTTTGCGCAACGGCACCATGTGACATTAATTTTAAAGTTAGCTTAATGTACACAGGATATGCGAAAATATCTCTACAATATCAAACCTGGCACGATTGGCAAAGCGCGATAAGAAAACTATGTGTAGCTCTCGTTCGCTGATGTGATTACTAAATTTTTTTTACACAGTAAATAAACCCTGCTCCGATCAAACCTCTGACATGTTTGAATAGAAATCTATTTTTTCCTGCGCATTATATCTCGATTAAAACAATTCAATATTAACAATATAAAAAAATAAAAAATTTAGTTATTTATTTTAAACAAAGATTAATATGTAAAATTTGAATATATCAAATATATCAAATAAAAAAAAGGTCACCAAAATTATCAGGACTCTAAAAGCAGGGCATTGTTTCAGCAACATAGTCTGTTAGGTCTCGTCCATGACGCACCTGATTCAATTTGGTGAATGACTAATGCCCTATATATCTATAGACTATTGCAGGGGTGCCACTTCTCCGGGATATTCCAGAGTCTAGACACATATTTTTTCCCCTTTCCAGATTCGCAAAATTTGAGTTTGAAAATTTTTCAAAATTAAGATAGTTTTAAGCTTGAAAATTTTGGCATTGTAAAAATAGTTTTTATCACCAAGACTTCCGCCAATGGCTCTTTCCGCTTTTTCGTGCATGCAGTACAGTATCCACCTCTGTATAAACCTAGAGTTAACATTGTTACGTCGTCACTTTCATGGTCTACCCGACAGCAGACGCCACTGTGACCTTAGATGGTCTTCTAGGTCTATCCTAACTTACCATGACATCGCAGTATAGTATAGTGGTGGATCTAGATCTGTAAATATTAACCAACAAGATTTCCTAATGCCATTAGCCCTATTTATTACGTTTGTGAATGAGGCTGTAGACGGAACTTTTTGATATGTCATTCGTAGTGTAGCTGTCTGGCTATTTATGACGATATGGGTTGGGAGTAAATTCGCATTATTAATGTGACGTCATCAATGGGCTACTGCTAGGCTGTGTAATAAAATGAACTAAATCCTACCATTACTAGATCTAGCATCACCGATCATCTTTTAAAAAAAAAAACGGAAAGATATTGCGCCGATCTAAAACATTTTTTTTTGTATTTGGTATTACTAAACGAAAAAGAATTATTTGAATGACTATTTTATGTATGAAACAGAACTCTGCTGTTTTCACTCAACTCTACTGACACTTTTTATCACTTCTCACCTGCTTCTTCAAGGTCGCGATGATTGTAAGATCTACGACACGAGACCACGCGAGCACAGTGGTGTCTCACGGTCTAGGCAGTTCTACGCTGTTTATCTAATCTTAACATTGTTATTTTTAATAAGGGCCTACTTTTAGATTTAATGAAAAAAACTAGATCTGCATATATATGTATATATATCATTAAACAAAATATGTAGGCCTGCTATAATTTAGTTACACAATCTAGCAGGGTCTAGATCTAATTGTTTTTTTACTGTGGTAAAATGTTCTTGAAATGTTTAAAAAAACCTCGAAGTACCGTGTTTGAGAAAATTTCCACTGTCACTGCCTTCTCCCATCCGCTTGTAAAAAAAATCCTCTTTTCAATTTGGCAGGCGGCTGCATCTCTGACCTGAGTATTACTAGCGGAGTTGCTTCTAAAATTTTGTGATGAGGGGGGTGGGGTTTCAAATGGTGTGACACTTTAGCCGTTATTTCGCGTTTTAGAAAACTATTTTAATAAATTGTAATAAGAATTGATTAATACTCTGTTGACAGACAGAGTGCAGACAAAATTTTGGAAAAAAATATCCTAATCTGCAATTTTTTTTTTGGGGGGGGGGGGGTTGTAGGCTGAGGTGTGATGTCATTTAAGCGGGTGGGGTCTGGTTTTTTGTGACCATATGTGACAGAGGTGAGGGGGGGGGGGAGGTAAAAATCGTCACATGATTTATGGTGGTTAATTGGGAAAACAGGGCTTTAGGTTTTTGTTGTGGCTGTTAATAATTAAAGCCCTGAATAATTACAGTAAGTCAACCTGTATTTAATACAGTGACAATCTTATTAGGGATGTGCATATAGTGGGCTTATTATTCAATAACAAGACGTAGAGGTTAGCAAAATATTTGTTACTTAACAGTTGGCTGACTTCACACTTTAAATCAAGCTAGGAAGTTCTAAAAACTTAAATACTTGGGTACGTTATAAAAGGAGGCATACAACAGTGTACATTGTATTGTAGGCCTACCACTTGTTGAAAGTCAGGCCTACTACAATATTTTAAGATATTGCTACACATTTCTGTATTACCAACAGAAGACAAAGTGTGACTACTGTCTTAATAAACAAAGTATTAGGAACATATTGTGAACATATATAGGAAGTATTGTGGCTTACATGTATGGGGGAAGGGGAGTTCTACAATACACATTATGGGGTAGGCCTAGAGATGGGACTAACATGTAAACTAACTTTGTTGTATGCACAATCCTTAAAATATTTATTTACATTTGAAGCTTGTTACAAAGAAAATAGTGGGGCGGAGTGGTCTAGCGGTAGAGAGCTGGACTGCTAACCCTTAAGTCTCGAGTTCGAATCCGGGTTCAAGTCAGTAGACCGTCCCTGAGTCCACCCAACTCTGATGGGTAGCTAACTCACGTTAGGGAAAGTAAAGGCGGCTGGGCATAGTGCTGACCACACTATCTCTTCATATGCCGAGGTCACAGAAACAAGTGACCGTCAGGTTTGAAAGGGAACTTACTTTTACAAAGAAAATAAATCCATTTTAAAGGAATGTATATTGAACATAGTATGAATCAAATGTCTAAAAAAAATGAAATAATAGTCCATTTTATTTTGAAATTCCGCGCCAAATTAAGTTTCAGGGTTTTTAAATTTTTTCAACTGCGCTCAGGGGAAGGCCCAGGGCGCCAAATCGAAATGAAACCAAAGTTTCATGGCGATCGGATGAAAGGTGTAGTAAAGGTGTATATAATATATATTGCTTTATGTATAAATATATATGTTGAAAATAATATGCTTGGTGTTTTAGATGTATAAACTAAATTTTATTAGGGAAGTAGGAAAATAAAAATAAAGGCATATTTAAATGTAGAAACACACTTTTAATTATGCAACTAGAAAATTGTTTATGGTTGTGACAAGAATGCAATAAACAATGCCACATGTTTAAACTATGGAAAGTACACAAACACAATGGTGTCATCTTCCGATTTTAGAATATAAAGAAATGAATTATTTAATTAAAAAATGATTGAGATCTATAAATCTACTTATCGGGACATTCGCTATGAAAGGTTTAAAATTTTTTCTGCCAAAAGTAATACAAATTACTTTAAAAAAATAACAGAAATACCTTTGAGCAGCTGGGTTTTTAAAGGAATCATTTAATTCTCTTAATCAGTGTGTGCATTTAATATGGTGTTGTGTTGACTAATAATGTTTATAATTTGATTTTTCTAATAGCTACTGATAACCTATGTTATTTTAAATGTGTTGGATTTTTAGCTATTTGGTTATTTCTTTATTTTGTTACTAATATCCTTCAACGTGTAGTAAAGCACATTGCAGTTTGACCAATAACTATTTTATATAATACGAGCTGATCCGCTGCGTATCATACGCCGCTATTTAGTTTTTTTTTTTTTTCTACTTTTCAGTAATTTATAATTTGTGAATTCGACAGTACCAATGCTGCCATTGAAAATATTTGCTTAAAAACACTAACCCCCCCCCCCCCCGTGAAAGCAGCCTCCTCTTAGTTACCTCTAAGTTTAAAATCGTTTCAAACTAAATTATCTGCCCCTAATAGCCGTCACCAAACCCGTCTCTATGATTGTAAAATGTAAACAGAGTGAACACCGCTCACCAGATCATGTAGGGGTGGAGTGGGGGTGGTAGTGATAGTGATAGAGAGGAAGAGAGGGGACTGCAAAGGCGCGCTTGCAGCTTGTTTCCTAACTGATCCCAGAAGAGAATTATATATATAGATTTTTTCAACCAAATTTAACATAAAAAAATATATAGATCCATAATTCACACGGGTACCGACGGCTAGTATATATATAGATCATTTTAAAGCATTCAATTATGATTGTTACATTTGTGGAGGAAAAATCAAGGGGGATAACAATTCCTTGTATGAAGACAGTTTTTTTTTTCCAGCTAATTCCTACTGATGGATTAATCAGAAGACATTCACACCTTAAAATTGGAAGATATCACCAGGTTAGTTTGAACTTATTTTAAACCATTGAGGTCTTGTAAACATGATGTGTGGAACTTAAAGGTTAGTTTGAACTTGTTTTAAACCATTTAGGTCTTGTAAACATGATGTGTGGAACTTACACCTGGGTGCTTTCATTTAAATTTTCTTGGCAGCATCTAGGTGACCAACTCGACTTAAATCTCTCAGCCCTTGAATACATGATGAAATGTTATCCAGATGTAAAAGAGAAGGAAGAAATGAGGAAAATCATTGGCAGATTTGGGCTCACTGGCATGCAGCAGGTAATGTACTAATAGCAAACAAAGGATTTGTATGCAATAGGTCAAAGGTCTAGGCCTAATTGAGTCATTATTGTCTGCCAATTTAAAAGATCAATGTTGGCCTTCTGACTTTTTCCATAGAGTTGGGTAAAATGTCCACTTATCAGATGTTACTATTTTGATTAAAATAAATACTAAATACTAAAACTGTGAATGTATTTGAAGGCTGATTTTTATATCTAAAACTTTCAAGTATTCAAATCAAGCCACCTATTTCCCTATGAGATAGTCGTTTTCATACCAACAGTGTTATTTATGCATTTATATATTTTAATCAGTTGAATATCATTTAAGTATAAAAGTAAAAGTATGTCATGGGTTTAAGTAAGCCATAGGTTTACACAAATGTGAAAGAGGGTTATTAATAGATATGGCGACAGCTATGATTTCTGGATTGGTTTATTAAATACCTAAAAACTTGGGTGCGATTTTATTAAAATAAATGTTGTTGTAAGAGCTTTCTTGTGGTGAGGATTTTGTAGAACTTTATGGTATGCATTGGTTTTTTTAAGTTGGTACATCATGTGGTTTAGTAAAATTTGTTTTTATAAGTTTATCAGCCAACAATTGCTTCTAACAAAGTGGGTTTTCAGAAGACAGACTAGTTTCTGTACAATCTTTATTCTTACAAAAATTAACCTTCAGGTTGTAACTAAGACTTGATAAAAAAAAAATTCTCAGGGTTTAGTTTTTGTTTAATTATCGTTTAAAGGCTGTGATGGCAACAAAATTGTAAAAAATGTCTTGGGTTTAGTCATTGTATTCTCATCGAACTTGCCTGCTCTACCATATTTAATCATGACCCAATAGCATTCAAAATATGTTGCAGCTATAATAAAATTGTCTGACCATAAACTGTGTCAAACTTTCAGGTATGTCCAATTAGAAATCTCTCAGACGGCCAGCGTTGTAGAGTTACCTTTGCCTGGTTGGCTTGGCAAAGTCCTCACTTACTGCTACTAGATGAACCTACTAATCACTTGGATATAGAAACTATTGATGCTTTGGCTGATGCTATTAATGAATTTGAAGGTGGCATGATACTGGTCAGTCATGACTTTAGGCTCATATCTCAGGTAAATCATTTTTTGAAAATGAAAAGTTTATTTCCAATGAATCACCATGCCAAATTTTAAATTTAATTTTGCCATTTAACAGGTGACTGAAGAAATCTGGGTCTGTGAGAAAGAGACTGTCACAAAATGGGAAGGTGACATATTTTCTTACAAAGAGCGGCTGATCAAAGAAACTCAAAAAAATAATGCTAAACTCAAAGGTCAATGATCCTGGGAATGTAAAATAAACATTTTTGAATGATTTATTCTGTCAAATTAGTTGATATAAAACTTATCTGGATGGAAAAAAAGACTAATATTTTTTTCTCCAAAATTTATTTAACAAAACAAGATGAAAAAAAAGTAGATTACTCTCACTTGGAGCAACCAACAACTAATGATGGTTAAAAATAATCTTACAAATGTACACATTCATGTAGCAATCATTAGCTCACACACAAAACACATCTTTACTATTGTAGGTCTGGCAAGTCTGAAAAAAATTAAGGTAACAAGGCATTAATAAATTTAAATGTTGAAATCAAAAGAAAAAACTGGAATTAGGTAGCTTTGCCCTTGACATCAAACCCACCACCAACCAGCCCAATTGATATTTTGTGAGATAAATCTAAAAATCTCAATATTCAGTCTTAATGGATTACTAGCAAATTTTTAAATGACCAAAATATCAGAAAATTAAGCTGAAGTCCAGCCACTAAGTTATCCAAACTTTAAATTCTGACCTAATAGGCAGTTAAGACCTGATAGTTAGCATCGATTACATTGAGAGGAATCCTCTTGTTCAAACAAACCTGATGTTTTTTGTAAAGTTAAGAACATAGACAATTATTTTAGTTACCTTCGTCATCACTGTCCTCTTGATCCTGTAAAAAAAAATTTTTTCTCTTAATGAGTGATAATGATAAATGGACGCAAGTTGTCATTTGAAAACAACAATCATTATTGATTTAAAAAGATCTCAAGAAATCAACCACATTTACCCCTAAGTCTGGTGCAGCACCGCCGCCTTGCAAACCTCCCATGGACTGCATCATCTGAAATGATTCAATTATAACTACACTAGAGACAAGCATACACACCCAACTGTAGAGGGGTTGGCCACTTTACAGTTGAATAAATCATTTCGCTAACACCTGACAAAAAAAATTATGCTCAAGTTGCGAGTTAATTCACACTTTGTAAATAAACAGCTGTGATACATTTTACTAGAATATGGCCATGTTCTATCTACTTTACAAATTACAGCCGATAATCACATTTACTTATAACATAACATTTGAATTTATCACAAAAAATTTTCAACAGCAAGTTCAAATCAATAAAATTAAAAAGTATTGCCACTTTATAAAACAGTCTGGAATGGTAGAATCATATTAGTGATCAATTATCAATAAATGTACAATTAAAAACTTACCCATTAATAATTAATTAAAAGAAAAATCCATTGTAAAAATTTGAAATGGGTAATTAGTGAACCTACTGTTTACAAAGGCTTACCTCATCTAAATTAAAATCTTCATGGTCTTCCACATCTGAATCATCCTCATCTCTCCATTTTTCAAAGTCTGTTTTTAAATAATGTACCTGTTGGTGAGACAAGTAGTGTAGTGGACCTGGTGGTGAGACAAGTAGTGTAGTGGACCTGGTGGTGAGACAAGTAGTGTAGTGGGGTTGGTGAGACAAGTAGTGTAGTGGACCTGGTGGTGAGACAAGTAGTGTAGTGGACCTGGTGGTGAGACAAGTAGTGTAGTGGACCTGGTGGTGAGACAAGTAGTGTAGTGGACCTGGTGGTGAGACAAGTAGTGTAGTGGACCTGGTGGTGAGACAAGTAGTGTAGTGGGGTTGGTGAGACAAGTAGTGTAGTGGACCTGGTGGTGAGACAAGTAGTGTAGTGGACCTGGTGGTGAGACAAGTAGTGTAGTGGACCTGGTGGTGAGACAAGTAATGTAGTGGACCTGGTGGTGAGACAAGTAGTGTAGTGGACCTGGTGGTGAGACAAGTAGTGTAGTGGACCTGGTGGTGAGACAAGTAGTGTAGTGGACCTGGTGGTGAGACAAGTAGTGTAGTGGACCTGGTGGTGAGACAAATTGTGTCACAAAATTGATGCTATTAAATTTGTTTTGTAAATGTGCTTTCTGGTAATGGTAGTTAAGTAAGTGGTACTGTGGTGTAGCTTTCTATTAAATAAAATTCCAAATGCATAATTAACTAGCCATACTAATAAAGAAATCGTTTTATTAACAATAATAAAAATACTTTTTTGGAATCCTTTAGAAGCCTAGGCCAAAAACCAGAACTATCCTCTTTTTTCATAATAACAAATATAACTTCTCTGCCAGTGACATGGTACTTGGATGTCTGAAATATAGAGCAGTTAACATTGGAAACTTGATTTAGCTAAGGGGTGTGTCTCTTTGGGACATTTGGTGTGTCATTATCGACATGTTAGAAATGACGCATTTACACTTGTAACATGTATGAAGGACTAAGAAAACTTACACTTGTAACATGTATGAAGGACTTGGAAAACTAAGTTTTTTGCAGGGCACAATTTTTTTTCATTATTAAGCACTTTTATATCAAAATAATAACCTTAACTTCACTATAGGAGCAAATCTGATCAAAATGAGTGGTCAAACAAAAATTATAAAAGCTTATAGTCAATCTGTATACTGTTCTTGTGTCACTAAGAACACCAACAGACAGTAAGTATGAATTTGGGCTCTCCCTGATAACACAAATAGAAATAGAAAGCATTGTTTACTAAACTTCTCTAAGTAGTCAATAGTGTTAGTTCATTTTTTAAAGCTTTATATCTACTATTGGCAGGTAGGTAGATCTGCAACAGAGAACAAAACCAATCTGGCTGACACACTCAAACACAATCTTCTCTCATTTTAGATTATTTTCAATGCCGTGCCCACATCTATATTGTCATTTAACTTTACCTAGACACATCTGGCAGCACCACATAGACAATCTGGAGGTGGGTAAGTGTGGGATGGGACAAGATGACTTGTGCCTCTTCAATATAAGTTAACTATAAATGTTGCTAGGGTTAACATGGTCTCCTAGTCTACATGGGGTTATGCAACACCTGCATCAGTACTGTTATACAGAAGCTAAAAAAAATCTGCATAGCTAAGAAAACAAAAAGATATAACTGATAACTTGACTATAATTATGTTAACTAAAAATAACAATGGCCCACTCCCCTTAACTCTTGCTTACTTCAGGGTCAATATCTTTGTTAAATTCCATTAAGACCTCGTGGTCAGAATTTGATGTTCCTCCCTTGCCATGGAAATACAAACTATTGTCTTTCAGAGTTATTGTAGGATTAACACAGTTTTCAAGCTGCACAGTGAGAAAAAGTTTATCTTTGCGCTGGGCCCACATCACAGGTGGTGGAGGAATATGCCTGTACAAAATAGATGAAAACTTTCTTGGCAAATCATTACATAAATCTATTTAATATTTACAGTGCTAAATTTGAAACCATGTTTAGATCTTGATCATGTTAAGTTCTTGGGCGGTTTACAAGTGTGTTAAGTTCTTGATCCTGGGCACTGTTTTTAAGGAAAATATTAAACCAATAGCATCTAGACCCCCATATATTTTTTAGACAATGTTCTAAAAAAAATAAATAGTTTTACTTACGTTTGTAAAAAGTTAAATTAGGTAAAATTTTAAGTCTATGTGACCCAGATATTACATAAAGAAATTAAAAAAAAAAAAATCAAAATTGTGATAGAAATGTACAATTAATAATAGTCTATAACAGAATGTAGAGAATATTTTAATATTCTTTAAACTGTTTTAAGTTTAAGATTAATTTGCAATTATTTTTTTTTCTTTATCTTATGTAGGTAAGTAGACCAAATTATTATCTGTGGTTCAGATTCTAGCTCAAAAATGTATCCTCCTCCAACTAATGTTTAAAATTCCAACCATTGATCTCCTGGAATTATATTTGTACAGTTATTAATATAACCTAATATAGTCAACACCCCCAATTAAAAAATGTATTACACTGTTATTTGAACGTTGTGTACAGAATCATGGTGATGGCATATAGTAATAGGTATGACAATTTAAGAATTCTTTAGCATAATGTTCAGTACACTCAATTGCCCCACGAGCAGAGATGTAACCTACCTCCCAAGGAAAAAAAAAATGAAAATTTGTTGATGTGGTAGGGACGGGTGTGTGTAGTGACAGCAGCATTTGTAATAATACAAAGAAAATAGATTTATATGCATTTATATTGTGTTACTGCTTGTTTGTACAGCAATTCAATAATTGAAACAAATTTCCCATGCTCCCAAAGCCTGTCCCATTCAACCACTTTCTTACATATAGAATCTGTGACTCACTGAGCTGGCTTCTAAGCCAGCCATGTCACATAGCGCAGACCCTTGCCTTAAGACATAGCGCAGACCCTTGCCTTAAGACATAGCGCACCACACACCCTTGCCTTAAGACAATCTGTCTTATCCCCCGCCCCCTCAATTTTCACAGACCACTGTCTTCTTGACCTTTATTTTGACCCTTTCCCTTCAACAACCAGCCACTCGTGGCGTTTCCTATGCGAAAAAATAAAATAAAGCACAACTGATTCCCTTCGGATTCGAACTCTGAGCTTCGAGGTCACCTTCCGCACTGTTCTGTTTACTTTGCCACACAACAATGGATTGGTAACAAAATATTAGGCATTTTGTATAAAAAGTCAGCTAAAAGGAAATAAACACTACTTCATTTATTGATATCGTTCTACATAGTAACTGAGTAAATTTTACACACAATTCCTATGTTTTTAACTAACACAACAGCATTAACGAGGTTGACAAAGTCTAAAAATAAGATAATTGCCAGTAGGCCTAATTTGATCTATCACATAAAAAGGTTCAGAATGAGCATTGTTTAAAAAACAATACTTAGGCCTAATTAAAAACTACATATAATTAATAATGTCCACAATTTTACATTTTCTGCACATGCTACAACTGAATTATAATTAAAATACTAGACTGAACAGTTCATTCAATAAAAAACAAAAATTAGTTGTTTCTACCTGACAACAATGACATAACGTTACTAAAAATAGAGAAAATTGTTGCACGGTTACTCATGGGGGAATTTGGAAAAAGTAAACAGAATTAATGTAATTAATCATGGTGAATAGCTCAAATATATATTAATTTAGGATCTGTCAGGCGCTTTTGCCCAGTGGTCGGTCGTTGTTTACTGCAGTTCAGCTTTTCCTGAGAGTGCTCCACAAGAAATGCTTGTATTATTAGAACTACATCTCGCTAATTTTTCTGGCATAGTATCCATTTCCTTAGCATCTCGCATTAAAATAATGAGATTTTGTGCAGTTATTTCATTCGTCGTATATGGGAACCCCCAAAAAATAAAATAAAAACGAAAAAACAAAAACTGAGCGTGACTTTTCAGGTTCTGACCTCCAGTTTGGAAAAAAGATGGACTACTAAGGGGATTATTTTTAATAATCTAGAGATCTAAATCTAGGTCTAGGCAAATTTTAAATGTAAGACAAACATAGCCTAATTGATTATTGATCTAGAGTAGATTTCCTCTGAACGGTCAAGCCTCAGAATCAACGTCTGTTTATTGCTTCATATAATAATTTTTTGGATGTTTTATACGAAACTACCGGTATCTGCTGTACGCATGTCCATTTCTAAATATATCCAGGTCAAGTTCTTTTGTTTTCCCTTTCCGGAAGACAAGTTTTTAAATTTTTAAGTTGAGGTATGACCTCAGCCGTGATCCCAGTTCCCCCGGATGAAAACACTAGGTCCGGGCTGAGACGAATAAAACCAACCAATCAAAGCTGTTTATAATTAGGTTAACTATAAATAGCTTCTACATATGTGCGGGGCACTGAAAATACTATTACTAAAGCAACCTGAGAGGTCAAATGGGGGTGATCGCAGCTTGGCTGACGATTCGGGTTGTTTATCCTCACAGCGTAATCAATGACTTGAGCTAGACTAGCCTAGATCTAGATGCTCTATATTTCAAGCTAAGTCTTGAATCTGTAGGCCTATAGTTTATACATTTTTCTGTTGTTTTAAATTATTTCGATCATCTACTTCTTCTAGAACTAGTTTGTGTCTCCACATACAAGCATGTCTAAGCAAATGTTATGTTTCGTCTTGTTAGTAATTGTTACGTCCCTTTGTTATGATTATTAAAATTGCGTCCCTTGAGTTATCACTGGGTCATACGTGATGTGTAGTTAATAAATTTAATTAAAGTGTTTATTTGGTGTTGCAGTCTATTAATTAATAATACTATCAACAACACGTTTAAAGGTGTAGGCCTAAATTATTTATTTTAGCTACAAAAATTGGATTAAGACGTATAAAATACGATCGTTACGTTAGCAGGAAAAGGTTTGGCAAGCAAGAAAAAAGGGGAAAAAATATCGCAAGAAGGCACGTCACTAAAACATGAATATCTCAAATACTATGTGTAGGAATACAAAATGACTCATACATATTAGAGTGAGTAGAATGGCAGCGGAATAATACGATACTTGCAATTTATTTCTGTGTGAAATGGTTACAAAATAGCGCCCTATGAAAATTGGGAGTTCGGAATTTCTTGCTATGTGTGACCGCGTTGGGCGTTAGGAAATCTACTCTAGAATTCTAGCTAGAATCTAGATCTAGTGATCTAGCCTAGCTAGATCTAGATAAAAGGACAAATACAATCCAAAGAATACATGAATACCTGTAGATCTAGAGTGTAGATCTAAATTCTACATCTAGATTCTACATAGAAATAGAATCTAGAAATCTAGATAGAATCTTTGATTGACTTACCATTAGAATAGAATGATTAGATTCAATCTACAATGATTCTACAAGACTTGAGAGTAAGTTGAGAGTCTACTTAACAATAATGACAATGTACTTATAGAAGTCTACAAGTACTAGATCTAGACCAACCCTAAACGTAGAGATCTAGATTCTACATTGAACTAGATCTAGAATCTAGCTAGAAATCTAGATTTACATTTCATTCAACATTCACATTGCCTTCGCTTGTATTTGATTGCTTGGCCTTTATTTTTATGATTATGTATAAATATTAAATAAGGCCTATGTAACTAATAGAATCTAGATCTTCTAACTAGTGCACACCAGAGTTACTTACGTCGCATTACTAGATGAATTCATATCTAGAACTAGATCTCTATCTAGATCTCTAAATAATTTTTAAAAATACAGTTAAATAAGTTACTGCTGTAGCTAAATAAGCAGGTAGGTATACACTACACGCCGCTAATATACGCAAGTGGACTCAAGAAGGGGTCAAAACGATTAAAAACTGGTGTATTCGATTACATCACCCCTAGCGCATAAATATTCTGAATCTACTACAATGATTTCATTTTAGTGACTTGTTTTTCTTTCTACTGATTGAGAAAAACAACAAAGAATCCAGTTGTCATCGTCAAACTAACTGTTATTTTCACTACAAAACAATATACTAGATATATAGTGATTGTTGCTTCCCACAATATTAGGTCAATATTGTTCAATTCATTAGTATGCTGACAAAATGGGGTCGAAACAAGACTGAAAGATGTAAAGATATTTCAAGATAATTATAATTCTTTTCCATATTATTTTTTTGAAGCAAATCATTGATTAATCGTCATTTTCAATGTATCATATTTATTTTATATAAATTATTGTTACTAGATCTAGTAGAGAATTGTGGCTGGTTTTATGCATAATGCTTGATACAGTGGCGTAGCCAGGATCGTCTCAAGGGGGGGGGTTCCAATTTTTACCCGGGGACAAACTTTCGATTTGCACCCCCCCCCCCTCAAACTTTCGATTTGCACCCCCCCCCCTCAAACTTTCGATTTGCACCCCCCCCTCAAACTTTCGATTTGCACCCCCCCCCCCCCTCAAACTTTCGATTTGCACCCCCCCTCAAACTTTCGATTTGCACCCCCCCCTCAAACTTTCGATTTGCACCCCCCCCCCCTCAAACTTTCGATTTGCACCCCCCCTCAAACTTTCGATTTGCACCCCCCCTCATACTTTTTATATATACCGAGGGGTCTATGGGGGGGTTATGACCCCCCCTAACCCCCCCCTGCCTACGCCACTGGCTTGATAACATATCTAACTAAATATTTTGTATATTTCACTTTCAACTACTTGGTATCGGTTTGTGAAATATTTCAGTAATCATGAGATTCTGCCCACAACTACTTTGCTGCGCATGTCAACGCATGTTAAAAATACGGATTAGAGACTTCCAGAATGGCAGAGCAGGCCTAGTTTTATGTGAAGTAGCCAGTGAAAGGTTAATAATCTGGTACTTCTAGATCTACCCACTGTTGTTAGGCTAAGGGATCGTGTATAAATAAAATGTAAAGATAAAAATGTGACATTTTAACACACAAACACCGTACGATTTTTTACCTTTCCTTATGCCTTAGGCTTATAGTCTACTTTTTATTACCCCAACTTTTTGAATCTAGATTTACAATGTATAATTGTACAAGTACAATATTGTACATTTATTTTAATATATTAAGTTTAAAATCGTTTAAAACATAATTATCTGCCCCTTATAGCCGTCACTAAACCCGGCTCTATGATTGTAAACATTTAACGTGAACCACAGCTCACCAGACCATGTAGGGGTGGGGGTGGTAGGGAGCGCGCTTACAGCTTGGTGTTTTCTAGTCTCCAAGAAGAGAATTATATATATAGATTATTTTATTTACATAACTCATAAATCTGTTATACTTTGAAAAAAACTTTAAACAAGATAAAAACACTAAGAATTAGTGGAGTAGAGTGTATACAGACAGCTCACACAAGGCCCAGCTCCACAACTGATGTGGCCAGCCCCGTGGCAGTGGTTCTATGCTTTCCACTACCGGAGTGCAATTTTTTTTCGAATATTTTCAACAGTAATTGTTATTTAATTCAGAAGACATTATTTTAATGGGTCAGTGTGCATTAATTTGACTTGAGTGACATAGTTTTATTTAGTTATTAGCTTCTAAATTAGGTGATGTTACAAGCTTTTATTTAACTTGCTTCCTCTATAGTCAGTCTGTATGTCGACTGTCTGTCTAGATTGAAACGCCCGAGCGTCGGGTACTTCTAAGCGATAGATTCGGTTCAAAGTTGGGACGTGGGTCAAAACATGAAGTGAATGCAATCTAACATTAAATTTCACTTAATTGGATGCCTGATTAGTTTAGGAATTAATAAAAATTGTGTCCAAATTAGTAGGCAGTCTTATCCCGCTATTCCTCACTATTATACACACATTATCACGTTCATTAGATGCAAAATAGTTTTTAGTCATGCAACTCTATTGTAAATTAAAAAAATTAAGTACGGAAAAAAAAATTCAGTTTTTAACATTTGTGAAATAAGTACTAAATCACTTCCAGTTTTACTATGGCACAAAATTACTACTAATATAATAGTAATTTACCAAACATTTTTATTTTAATTTGGATTAGTATAGTCAGGGTGTTGTGGTGAAGGTAAACGGAAAAAAAGTCACAGGAAAAAAAAACAGAAAAAAAGTCACAGTTTTTGCTAGGAAAAAAAGTCACAGAAAAAAAGTCACAATGGAAAAATTTTATCGGAAAAAAAGTCACAGAAATAAAGTCACAGAAAAAAAAGTCACACAAATCTTTTTAGAAATCTTTTGATTTATTTGTTAAGAATTGTAAAATTTTGTATGTTATTTTTGTGGGTTGTATTTTTTGATAGCATAAATTATTTATAGACGTTAAAAGTATTATGATTTACGAGCCGGCCCGCGGCATAACATACGCCGCTATTTAGTTGTTTCTAATTTTCAATAATTCATAATTTGTGAATTCGACAGTACCAACGCTGACACTGAAAATATTTCTTTAAAACACTATAAGTAGCTCGTTAAGGACCATAACCCCCCCCCCCCCCTTCCTTCCCTCCCTCCCCCCCCCCCATACGTTTAAAATCGTTGGCTCTGCTTGTAAACATTTAGAGTGAACACAGCTCACTAAAACCATGTAGGGGTGGGGAGGTAGGGAGAGCGTTTGCAGCTTGTTTTCTAACGGCTCGAAGAAGAGAATTATATATATAGATAAAAATTGTAAGTAAAAATACTCTAAGATAATTTACACAACAATCTTAACTTTTGTTACGTATTTAGTTACATACGCGGTAGAAAAGTTAACTATAAAAGAAATTTAGGCACATTATTGTGTTTTGCATAGGTTTTGCCGTAGGCTATTCTATGGTCGGCCTCTCCTCAGTCGGCATTGTCCGAACATATTTTGTGTTGTTGACGTTTTGTGTCAATGACAGCCTTTGAACCTTGTCGGCTCTCTGTTTTGATCCTAAGTTTTGTTATGTAATGAGCGTGATAAATGTGGGAAGTAAAGGTGGTTGAACTAAGCATAACTATTGTTGCGATGAGTTGAGGGCAGTAATTCAGATGACCTTACCATTTCACGGTAATTTAATTTTAAAAAAAAACACGATGAAAACCGTGGACATTCTATTAAATGCTATAAATATTATGTTTAACATAATTACAATCTACATAATTCATGCTAAATATTTTTAGATGAATTATAAAAATTACTATACGTATACAACATACACACATTACATTACATTTAATTAATCTTAAGTTAATTTGCACTCTCTGAATATTTAATACATAAAAGTATTAACAAATCCCATGCAATTATATATTTGTGACTTTTTTTCCTGTGACTTTTTTTCCTGTGACTTTTTTTCTGTTTTTTTTTTTCCTGTGACTTTTTTTCCTACAATCGTGGTGAAAGGGGATGTTATATTATCCCCTAACTTCATTTGCTATTGCTGACTATCCTTATAGAAAACATCTTTTCCTGAAATATCTAGAATGCATCTGATCAGCAACAGTCGTTTTCTTTTGTAATATACAATTACAAAATGTTTATAAACTCGCACAGCCATTAACAACAAACTACCAGGAGACAGGCAGTGATAATAGTTTGCTGTATTTGTGGTTGATGGTTAGTTATCAGCCATGCTTCTCTAAGCTTGCTCCACATTTGTATGCTGGTATGGCAAGAATTGACAAAAACCCATTTTCTTGATTCTTCCCTTATCATTTACTGTTTTACAGCTATGATAGATATAGTACTGTTTTATTTCAACACAATGGAAGATTTCAGTAATAGCTACAAAATACCAAAGTTGAAGGTTAAACAATAACCTAAGATATTTTAATATTATTGTTTGCTTTGAACATGATATAATGCTAAGTTGAAAATTCTAATGCAAAAATAAATGAATAATTGTTTGCAGACATTGCCCTTATATTATTATAGAATACACTTAGCAAATTCATGTTCAGCCTACTAGAGCGCTCGTGTTATTTATAATCTATTACTTATTAACTTAATACACTTATTAGATTTTGTAGTTAGACAATCTATTAGTAGTAAAGTAGTAAGTACTAGATTGAGAATAAAGCGAAAATAAAAACTTGACCCAGAACATAAAAAGGAGCGTTGTTTTGTGCCCTGCGACTCAGATGATGTTCCATATACACGTAACATGTTTAGTATACATTTAAGTAGACCAAGTCTAGTATACATGTCGCAAGTGTAAACGTGGTGATCCAATAATTCCAAATTATTTTCAACTGCTTATGTTGAATACAAAAATATGAAAATGAATGTAATCTATGATTCCCAAAATGGCTTTAGTTTTTAAATATGTAGCTATAATTTTGTCGCTTGCCAGTGGCGGAACTAGAAAAAAAAAGGCCACCCCGCAGAAAAAAATAATTTATATATATATATATATATATATATATATATATATATAAACACAGAATACCAACATAGTATACTCATTTCTGGCGTGATTGGCTTTTGAAAAAAAAAAAAGACTGTTTTTTTAAAAATTAAAACATATAAGAACAGAGTGTGGGATGGTGTCTATAGAATAAAGACAATCCAACCACGGTGTTATATATCTGTATATTACCCAACCTCAATCTTTTGAACTCAACTAAAGACACACAGAGAACAGACTCATTTTTTTCAAACCTCAAAAATAAGTGGTTCCAAATGGTTGTTGCCAGAAACCCCATTTTTCAACCAAAATTGAATATTTTATAACATTTGAGAAAAGAGTACTAAATGACTTGCGGTTTTACTAAGGCTAGAAATATTCAAACAAATAATTACTAGTAATATAATAGTAATTTAGCAAACACTTTTATTTTTAATTAGTAGAGTCAGTGTGTTGTGGTGATATGGGATGCTATATTATTTAATATAAGCAGAACCGCTATTTAGTTGTTTTATTTTCTACTTTTCAGTAATTCATAATTTGTGAATTCGACACTATTAGTATTAATGCTGCGACTGAAATTTGTTCCTTTAAAACACTAATAGTAGCTTGTGAAATATGCTTATCCTCTCCCCCCCCCCCGTGAAACACGCTCGTGACAACAGTTTACAGACAATGAAAAGATCAAGCAGAACTTGTTACCTCCCATTAGTTTTAAATCCTTTGAAAACTAAATAATCTGTCCCTAATATCCTTCTCTAATTCGACCAGTAGAGATTGTAAAAATTCAGCGTGAACCACAGTTCACCAGACTGGCGGGGGTGATAGCGATACGGTCTGTTGCACATGCCTGGAGAGCGAGGTAGGGGGCTGGAGGAGGGTTAGAGCGTCAGCGAGTGTGCGTAATGGTTGGACGACGTTGAGAATTGTATAGAAAAATTATTAGTCCTTATCCCAAAGATCACATTTGTCATTAAGAGTGCCATAGTATGGATACAGTAACCTACTAAAATTGACAACAAAGTATCTGGTGCGTCCACTGGGGCCCGGTGCTACCTCGTGAGCACAATAGCGCCTACATAATAGTTTAGTAAACTTTAAATGTAGATTAAAATAGGTTACCCATCCCAAGTAAGAGCATACTTAGGTAGACGGCTAACATTGTAAAATAAATGGTATAAATACTAGACATTCTATGGAATTGAATGGAACAGGAGAGGAACCAGCAAAGTTTAGGTATGACTAGATGAGGTGTTGTAGACTGACTACATCTTTAGCAAACAATTGAAACCACTGTAGCACATGTTGACCTGATGTGAGCTTACACTTACAGTTCCACTGCCCACACAATCTTTCCTGCCTCCCCCATCCACAGAAAATTGATCAAAATCTTGATGGAATCATTTAGACATTAATTACATGTAACACTGCCTCAGTAGGGATGTGGTGTGATATCACCCACTGTGGTGTGGTGTGATGTCACCCACTGTGGTGTGGTGTGATGTCACCCACTGTGGTGTGGTGTCACCCACTGAGGTGTGGTGTGATATCACCCACTGAGGTGTGATGTCACCCACTGTGGTGTGGTGTGATGTCACCCACTGTGGTGTGGTGTCACCCACTGAGGTGTGGTGTGATATCACCCACTGAGGTGTGGTGTGGTATCACCCACTGTGGTGTGATGTCACCCACTGAGGTGTGGTGTGATGTCACCCACTGTGGTGTGGTGTGATGTCACCCACTGTGGTGTGGTGTCACCCACTGAGGTGTGGTGTGATATCACCCACTGTGGTGTGGTGTCACCCACTGTGGTGTGGTGTGATGTCACCCACTGTGGTGTGGTGTGATGTCACCCACTGTGGTGTGGTGTGATGTCACCCACTGAGGTGTGGTGTGATGTCACCCACTGTGGTGTGGTGTGATGTCACCCACTGTGGTGTGGTGTCACCCACTGAGGTGTGGTGTGATATCACCCACTGTGGTGTGATGTCACCCACTGTGGTGTGGTGTGATGTCACCCACTGTGGTGTGGTGTCACCCACTGAGGTGTGGTGTGATATCACCCACTGTGGTGTGATGTCACCCACTGAGGTGTGATGTCACCCACTGTGGTGTGATATCACCCACTGTGGTGTGATGTCACCCACTGTGGTGTGGTATCACCCACTGTGGTGTGGTATCACCCACTGAGGTGTGATGTCACCCACTGTGGTGTGGTGTGATGTCACCCACTGTGGTGTGGTGTCACCCACTGTGGTGTGGTGTGATATCACCCACTGAGGTGTGGTGTGGTATCACCCACTGTGGTGTGGTGTGATGTCACCCACTGTGGTGTGGTGTGATATCACCCACTGAGGTGTGGTGTGGTATCACCCACTGTGGTGTGGTGTGATGTCACCCACTGTGGTGTGGTGTCACCCACTGTGGTGTGGTGTGATATCACCCACTGAGGTGTGGTGTGGTATCACCCACTGTGGTGTGGTATCACCCACTGTGGTGTGGTATCACCCACTGTGGTGTGGTATCACCCACTGTGGTGTGGTATCACCCACTGTGGTGTGGTATCACCCACTGTGGTGTGGTATCACCCACTGTGGTGTGGTATCACCCACTGTGGTGTGGTATCACCCACTGTGGTGTGGTATCACCCACTGTGGTGTGGTATCACCCACTGTGGTGTGGTATCACCCACTGTGGTGTGGTATCACCCACTGTGGTGTTTTGTAAGGGCTGACCCAGAGAGCTAACACACAATCAATGATACTTTTGCTGATAGATCCTGGCTTTATTGCATATACGGCAAATCCATTACAGCATATCCATACACGGCATATTGCCCTTCATTAGGTCTACATAAACAAGTTATGCAACGGAATAATCCATGTCATCCGCAACCTAGATTTTGAATGCAGCGGACACGGTACACCTACCCAGAGGTCACATGACATGGGAACACGGCAACATCGCTCATAGAAGAGAAATAATAAAAAAAGGACAGTTGCGGTCGACACAACCAAATAAAATTACAAATTATTCCCCCTGGCAGGTAACCCATTGTATGTGTTACAATTATAGATAAGAAATAGAATTAGAAGTTGTAAATAATTTATTAGTCTAAGAAAAAAAAAACAAGATTACAAGTGATGGGAGCCTAAGAAGCCAGTTCAAGTGCTGATGTACACAAATTACAGCTGTGGTGTGTACACAGCTGGTAGCCCCTGGTGTGTACACAGCTGGTAGCCCCTGGTGTGGGTAATGACAAGTTTGGCAGTGCATCCAGTCAATGAGCCACCAGTATCTAGTCCTCCACTCTATTGCTGACCTCATGATTGACATCATGGTTGACCAGCTGCTGTCTCCACATCTCAGCGTAGTGACCTTTGGCCTCCAGCAACTCCTGATGCCTTCAATAAACAAATTACATAGCTAAATATAACTTCAGGCAAACAAAACTTAATTTGGCCATCACGTAGAACATTTGGCCAACAGAACTTAATTTGGCCATCACATAGAACATTTGGCCAACAGAACTTTATTTGGTCAACAGAACTTAATTTGGCCATCACGTAAAACATGTGGCCAACAAAAATCAATTTAACCAACAAAACTTAATTTGGCCATCATGAAGAACATGCGGCCAACAAAACTTACGTGCCCATCTCCATTATTTGGCCCTCATTTAGAACAATAATTTGATGTGCGTGGATGATTGTTGACAGGCGATGAGCCACGATCAGAGTAGTCCTGTTCTCACAGACACGGGCCAGGGACGACTGGATGCTGCGTTCTGTTTTTGTGTCCAGGGCAGAGGTGGCCTGTAGGGGCAAGGACAAATAAATAACTGCATTTACACAAATAAATGACCATTTGGGTCTACTAGGACAATGGAGACTATCAAACCTCATCTAGAAGGACGAGACTATCAAACCTCACCTAGAAGGACGAGACTATCAAACCTCACCTAGAAGGACGAGACTATCAAACCTCATCTAGAAGGACGAGACTATCAAACCTCACCTAGAAGGACGAGACTATCAAACCTCACCTAGAAGGACGAGACTATCAAACCTCACCTAGAAGGACGAGACTATCAAACCTCACCTAGAAGGACGAGACTATCAAACCTCATCTAGAAGGACGAGACTATCAAACCTCATCTAGAAGGACGAGACTATCAAACCTCATCTAGAAGGACGAGACTATCAAACCTCATCTAGAAGGACAAGACTATCAAACCTCATCTAGAAGGACGAGACTATCAAACCTCATCTAGAAGGACAAGACTATCAAACCTCATCTAGAAGGACGAGACTATCAAACCTCATCTAGAAGGACAAGACTATCAAACCTCATCTAGAAGGACAAGACTATCAAACCTCATCTAGAAGGACAAGATTATCAAACCTCATCTAGAAGGACGAGACTATCAAACCTCATCTAGAAGGACGAGACTATCAAACCTCATCTAGAAGGACGAGACTATCAAACCTCATCTAGAAGGACGAGACTATCAAACCTCATCTAGAAGGACAAGACTATCAAACCTCATCTAGAAGGACGAGACTATCAAACCTCATCTAGAAGGACAAGACTATCAAACCTCATCTAGAAGGACGAGACTATCAAACCTCATCTAGAAGGACGAGACTATCAAACCTCATCTAGAAGGACGAGACTATCAAACCTCATCTAGAAGGACGAGACTATCAAACCTCATCTAGAAGGACGAGACTATCAAACCTCATCTAGAAGAACGAGACTATCAAACCTCATCTAGAAGGACGAGACTATCAAACCTCATCTAGAAGGACGATGGCTGGAGCTTTGAGCAGAGTCCTGGCAATGGCCACGCGTTGTTTCTCTCCCCCACTCAGCTTTAAGCCACGTTCTCCAACAACTGTTTCATAACCTAGAAACAAATGCGTTTGTCAATGGTTTGCCTACAATCATCTCAACAGTAAACACACGCATGTAAACAATCAGAGCAAACGTACGTTTAGGGAATGTAAGAATTCTATCATGAATTTCAGCAGCCCTTGCAGCTTCCTCAACCTCCCTATCTGTGGCATTGACACGACCATAGCGGATGTTGTACCTGGCGGAAAATACTGGATGGTAGAACACAAGAACCACCAGACTAGTGACCCCATGGACCACCAGACTAGTGACCCCATGGACCACCAGACTAGTGACCCCATGGACCACCAGACTACTGACCCCATGGACCACCAGACTACTGACCCCATGGACCACCAGACTACTGACCCCATGGACCACCAGACTACTGACCCCATGGACCACCAGACTACTGACCCCATGGACCACCAGACTACTGACCCCATGGACCACCAGACTACTGACCCCATGGACCACCAGACTAGTGACCCCATGGACCACCAGACTAGTGACCCCATGGACCACCAGACTACTGACCCCATGGACCACCAGACTACTGACCCCATGGACCACCAGACTAGTGACCCCATGGACCACCAGACTACTGACCCCATGGACCACCAGACTACTGACCCCATGGACCACCACACTGACCCCATGGACCACCAGACTACTGACCCCATGGACCACCAGACTACTGGCCCCATGGACCACCAGACTACTGACCCCATGGACCACCAGACTACTGACCCCATGGACCACCACACTACTGACCCCATGGACCACCAGACTACTGACCCCATGGACCACCAGACTACTGACCCCATGGACCACCAGACTACTGACCCCATGGACCACCAGACTATTGACCCCATGGACCACCAGACTACTGGCCCCATGGACCACCAGACTACTGGCCCCATGGACCACCAGACTACTGACCCCATGGACCACCAGACTACTGACCCCATGGACCACCAGACTACTGGCCCCATGGACCACCAGACTACTGACCCCATAAACCACCAGACCAGTGACCCCATGGACCACCAGACTACTGACCCCATGGACCACCAGACCAGTGACCCCATGGACCACCAGACCAGTGACCCCATGGACCACCAGACTAGTGACCCCATGGACCACCAGAGTACTGACCCCATGGACCACCAGACTACTGACCCCATGGACCACCACACTGACCCCATGGACCACCAGACCAGTGACCCCATGGACCACCAGACCCCTGACACTGTGAAGAACCTACTGAATGTCACTGTTGAAAAGTACTGTGTCTTGAGGCACCACACCAATACTTCTGCGCAAAGATTTCTGCTTGACCTGAAAATATTTGCTGTGTCACACACTACAACAATTTCTCTACAACTACAACAATTTCTCTACAACTACAACGATTTCTCTACATCTCTACAACTACAACACTTAATACAACTACAATTTCTATACAACTACTACTACATTTTTTAAATTCATACTTTTTAAATATGAAATTTCCAAACTCTACAGAGAACTTTGTAGTGACTAGTTATTAGATAATTCAATAATAGTACTGGCATTTTGATGACAGTGTAATGACATTTGTATCGTACCGATGAATGCTTTCCTTGCTCTGACTGAATGTCAGAAAAAAACTTTTATAGGGCTGCCTCCCCCCCCCCCCCCCCTTTTGTAGTGTAAAAATAAATCTTTTTTTTTTTTTTGCTATTAATTGTAATGTTGTATATGTCAAATTGTTAAATGCCATATACTTCATATAGGTCAGACTAATTTCAGCAATTGTTTGATTTTGGAGTTTTGCTCAATTGCTGTCCTCCGCCTGCTCAAGTAGGGATAAGAATTGGGTCACTCAAGAATCACAATTTTGTAGACTTTGCCAGGCTTAGCAGATCCTGCCCTGACTCCCTGCACTACTTGCCCCACACAGCCCTGACTCCCTGCCCCACACAGCCCTGACTCCCTGCCCCACACTGCCCTGACTCCCTGCATTACTTGCCCCACACTGCCCCGACTCCCTACCCCACACAGCCGTGACTCCCTGCCCCACACTGCCCCGACTCCCTACCCCACACAGCCGTGACTCCCTGCCCCACACTGCCCCGACTCCCTGCCCCACACTGCCCCGACTCCCTGCCCCACACTGCCCTGACTCCCTGCCCCACACTGCCCCGACTCCCTGCATTACTTGCCCCACACAGCCCTGACTCCCTGCATTACTTGTAGAAACCCTGAATACAACATTTTTCCTACAACAACAACAAAATCTCATCATATACAATTACTCTCACAATAAATTCTTCATAGCTAAGTTAACGAATAACCTTTGTAATATCTTGTCCGTCAATTTGAATACAGCCTGATTGGATGTCATAAAATCTAAACAGCAGCCGGACTATAGTGCTTTTACCACAGCCTGTGTGACCAACCTAGGAGAGAACAACCACATGTGCTCAGTAACAGAGGACTAAAACATGTGCTCAGTAACAGAGGACTAAAACATGTGCTCAGTAACAGAGGACTAAAACATGTGCTCAGTAACAGAGGACTAAAACATGTGCTCAGTAACAGAGGATTGGCTATGGTTACAACAATGGGTTGGTTATGGTTACAACAATGGGTTGGTTATGGTTACAACAATGGGTTGGTTATTGTTACATTGGGTTGGCTATGGTTACAACAATGGGTTGGCTATGGTTACAAGAATGGGTTGGTTATGGTTACAACAATGGGTTGGTTATTGTTACATTGGGTTGGCTATGGTTACAACAATGGGTTGGCTATGGTTACAAGAATGGGTTGGCTATAGTTGCAATGGGTTGGCTATGGTTACAACAATGGGTTGGTTATGGTTACAAAGGGTTGGCTATGGTTAAAATGGGTTGGCTATAGTTGCAATGGGTTGGCTATGATTAAAACTCACCAGGGCATAGGTGTGGCCGGCAGGTATATTGAAGGAAATATTCTTTAAAATTGGTTTACTGAAACATGAAGATTCAATCATGATTGTAGAGTAATGACATGAGAGTAATGACAAGATTGTAGAGTAATGACAAGATTGTAGAGTAATGACAAGATTGTAGAGTAATGGCAAGATTGTAGAGTAATGACAAGATTGTAGAGTAATGGCAAGATTGTAGAGTAATGGCAAGATTGTAGAGTAATGACATGAGAGTAATGACAAGATTGTAGAGTAATGACAAGATTGTAGAGTAATGACAAGATTGTAGAGTAATGACAAGATTGTAGAGTAATGACAAGATTGTAGAGAACTAGCAAGATTGTAGAGTAATGACAAGATTGTAGAGTAATGGCAAGATTGTAGAGTAATGACAAGATTGTAGAGTAATGGCAAGATTGTAGAGTAATGACAAGATTGTAGAGTAATGGCAAGATTGTAGAGTAATGACAAGATTGTAGAGTAATGACAAGATTGTAGAGTAATGGCAAGATTGTAGAGTAATGGCAAGATTGTAGAGTAATGACAAGATTGTAGAGTAATGACAAGATTGTAGAGTAATGACAAGATTGTAGAGTACTCAAGCAGTTGTTTGAACCCAGCCTACCTTGGTTCATAATAGAAAGACACATCATTAAAAGAGATCTGAGCTCCTGACAGAACAAGGTCTTTAGCACCAGCCACATCTTTTATCTAAAGACAATGTATGCACAGTTAAAATAAACACGCATTAGCACCAGCCACATCTTTTATCTAAAGACAATGTATGCACAGTTTAAATAAACAAGCATTAGCACCAGCCACATCTTTTATCTAAAGACAATGTATGTACAGTTTAAATAAACAAGCATTAGCACCAGCCACATCTTTTATCTAAAGACAATGTATGCACCGTTTAAATAAACACGCATTAGCACCAGCCACATCTTTTATCTAAAGACAATGTATGCACAGTTTAAATAAACAAGCATTAGCACCAGCCACATCTTTTATCTAAAGACAATGTATGCACAGTTTAAATAAACAAGCATTAGCACCAGCCACATCTTTTATCTAAAGACAATGTATGCACAGTTTAAATAAACACGGAATTAAAGACAATGTATGCACAGTTTAAATAAACACGCATTAGCACCAGCCACATCTTTTATCTAAAGACAATGTATGCACAGTTTAAATAAACACGCATTAGCACCAGCCACATCTTTTATCTAAAGACAATGTATGCACAGTTTAAATAAACACGCATTAGCACCAGCCACATCTTTTATCTAAAGACAATGTATGCACAGTTTAAATAAACACGGAATTAAAGACAATGTATGCACAGTTTAAATAAACACGCATTAGCACCAGCCACATCTTTTATCTAAAGACAATGTATGCACAGTTTAAATAAACACGCATTAGCACCAGCCACATCTTTTATCTAAAGACAATGTATGCACAGTTTAAATAAACAAGCATTAGCACCAGCCACATCTTTTATCTAAAGACAATGTATGTACAGTTTAAATAAACAAGCATTAGCACCAGCCACATCTTTTATCTAAAGACAATGTATGCACCGTTTAAATAAACACGCATTAGCACCAGCCACATCTTTTATCTAAAGACAATGTATGCACAGTTTAAATAAACAAGCATTAGCACCAGCCACATCTTTTATCTAAAGACAATGTATGCACAGTTTAAATAAACAAGCATTAGCACCAGCCACATCTTTTATCTAAAGACAATGTATGCACAGTTTAAATAAACACGGAATTAAAGACAATGTATGCACAGTTTAAATAAACACGCATTAGCACCAGCCACATCTTTTATCTAAAGACAATGTATGCACAGTTTAAATAAACACGCATTAGCACCAGCCACATCTTTTATCTAAAGACAATGTATGCACAGTTTAAATAAACACGGAATTAAAGACAATGTATGCACAGTTTAAATAAACACGCATTAGCACCAGCCACATCTTTTATCTAAAGACAATGTATGCACAGTTTAAATAAACACGCATTAGCACCAGCCACATCTTTTATCTAAAGACAATGTATGCACAGTTTAAATAAACACGCATTAGCACCAGCCACATCTTTTATCTAAAGACAATGTATGCACAGTTTAAATAAACAAGCATTAGCACCAGCCACATCTTTTATTTAAAGACAATTTATGCACAGTTTAAATAAACACGCATTAGCACCAGCCACATCTTTTATTTAAAGACAATGTATGCACAGTTTAAATAAACACGCATTAGCACCAGCCACATCTTTTATCTAAAGACAATGTATGTACAGTTTAAATAAACAAGCATTAGCACCAGCCACATCTTTTATCTAAAGACAATGTATGCACCGTTTAAATAAACACGCATTAGCACCAGCCACATCTTTTATCTAAAGACAATGTATGCACAGTTTAAATAAACAAGCATTAGCACCAGCCACATCTTTTATCTAAAGACAATGTATGCACAGTTTAAATAAACAAGCATTAGCACCAGCCACATCTTTTATCTAAAGACAATGTATGCACAGTTTAAATAAACACGGAATTAAAGACAATGTATGCACAGTTTAAATAAACACGCATTAGCACCAGCCACATCTTTTATCTAAAGACAATGTATGCACAGTTTAAATAAACACGCATTAGCACCAGCCACATCTTTTATCTAAAGACAATGTATGCACAGTTTAAATAAACAAGCATTAGCACCAGCCACATCTTTTATCTAAAGACAATGTATGCAGTTTAAATAAACACGGAATTAAAGACAATGTATGCACAGTTTAAATAAACACGGAATACGCACAGTTTAAATAAACATGGAATACGCACAGTTTAAATAAACACTGAATACGCACAGTTTAAATAAACACTGAATACTCACAGTTTAAATAAACACGGAATATGCACAGTTTAAATAAACACTGAATAAGCACAGTTTAAATAAACACTGAATACGCACAGTTTAAATAAACACGGAATTAAAGACAATGTATGCACAGTTTAAATAAACACGCATTAGCACCAGCCACATCTTTTATCTAAAGACAATGTATGCACAGTTTAAATAAACAAGCATTAGCACCAGCCACATCTTTTATTTAAAGACAATTTATGCACAGTTTAAATAAACACGCATTAGCACCAGCCACATCTTTTATTTAAAGACAATGTATGCACAGTTTAAATAAACACGCATTAGCACCAGCCACATCTTTTATCTAAAGACAATGTATGTACAGTTTAAATAAACAAGCATTAGCACCAGCCACATCTTTTATCTAAAGACAATGTATGCACCGTTTAAATAAACACGCATTAGCACCAGCCACATCTTTTATCTAAAGACAATGTATGCACAGTTTAAATAAACAAGCATTAGCACCAGCCACATCTTTTATCTAAAGACAATGTATGCACAGTTTAAATAAACAAGCATTAGCACCAGCCACATCTTTTATCTAAAGACAATGTATGCACAGTTTAAATAAACACGGAATTAAAGACAATGTATGCACAGTTTAAATAAACACGCATTAGCACCAGCCACATCTTTTATCTAAAGACAATGTATGCACAGTTTAAATAAACACGCATTAGCACCAGCCACATCTTTTATCTAAAGACAATGTATGCACAGTTTAAATAAACACGCATTAGCACCAGCCACATCTTTTATCTAAAGACAATGTATGCACAGTTTAAATAAACACGGAATTAAAGACAATGTATGCACAGTTTAAATAAACACGGAATACGCACAGTTTAAATAAACATGGAATACGCACAGTTTAAATAAACACTGAATACGCACAGTTTAAATAAACACTGAATACTCACAGTTTAAATAAACACGGAATATGCACAGTTTAAATAAACACTGAATAAGCACAGTTTAAATAAACACTGAATACGCACAGTTTAAATAAACACGGAATTAAAGACAATGTATGCACAGTTTAAATAAACACGCATTAGCACCAGCCACATCTTTTATCTAAAGACAATGTATGTACAGTTTAAATAAACATGGAATACGCACATTTTAAATAAACATGGAATTAAAGACAATGTATGCACAGTTTAAATAAACACGGAATATGCACATTTTAAATAAACACGGAATATGCACATTTCATCTTAAAAATGAATTGGCTTATTAAAAAAAGATCTGCCTAACATAAGACAACAGCCTAACCCTATAACTGACCTCTGCCTCCTCTGCCAGGAGTTCAAACATGTTCTCCATGTCTATAAAAGATTGTTGGATCATTCTACAAGAACAAACAATTGTATTATTAGAACAAGCTTATATTTCATAAACCACCACCAATAGGGCTGGTAAGTAGGTCACCAACCAGTTCTACGGCTCAATAAAACCTGCATAAGCTATAGAACTGATTGGTTACCTACTTACCATGATATCTCCCCCCCCAACACCGACTGATTTCTCCACCCCCCACCAGCTGACATCCCCCCCCCCACACCACCCACCAGCTGACATCCCCCCCCCCCCACACCACCCACCAGCTGACATGACCAGTACCTTACCTGTAATATGTGCCCAGCCAGTTGAGGGGAACATAGAGTTGGGCCAAGTAAGTTCCAAAGAGAACGTAGTCTCCCACAGTGAGGTGAAGGTCATTGATGCCATGTACAGCAGCCCAAGCACACAGCAGACAGCCGGCAGCCAGGCCAACAGTGTTGATCAGGTTCTGGACACAGTTGAGCAGGCTCAGACTGGCGTTAGACTTCCACTCAGCTGTCTGCACAATGGTACTGGTAGTTAGATGGGATTCACACAATGGTACTGGTAGTTAGATGGGATTCACACAATGGTACTGGTAGTTAGATGGGATTCAAATGGTGCTACTGGTAGTTAGATGGGATTCAAATGGTGCTACTGGTAGTTAGATGGGATTCAAATGGTGCTACTGGTAGTTAGATGGGATTCAAATGGTGCTACTGGTAGTTAGATGGGATTCACATGGTGCTACTGGTAGTTAGATGGGATTCACATGGTGCTACTGGTAATTAGATGGGATTCAAATGGTGCTACTGGTAGTTAGATGGGATTCAAATGGTGCTACTGGTAGTTAGATGGGATTCACATGGTGCTACTGGTAGTTAGATGGGATTCAAATGGTGCTACTGGTAGTTAGATGGGATTCACATGGTGCTACTGGTAGTTAGATGGGATTCAAATGGTGCTACTGGTAGTTAAATGGGATTCACATGGTGCTACTGGTAGTTAGATGGGATTCAAATGGTGCTACTGGTAGTTAGATGGGATTCAAATGGTGCTACTGGTAGTTAGATGGGATTCACATGGTGCTACTGGTAGTTAGATGGGATTCACATGGTGCTACTGTAGTTAGATGGGATTCACATGGTGCTACTAGTAGTTAGATGGGATTCGAATGGTGCTACTGGTAGTTAGATGGGATTCACATGGTGCTACTGGTAGTTAGATGGGATTCAAATGGTGCTACTGGTAGTTAGATGGGATTCAAATGGTGCTACTGTCAGTTAGAAGTGAATGAAATGGTGCTACTGGTAGTAGCCATGTTAGAGTAATGATACCTCACCTGGTACTCTACTATAGCCTTTTCATAACGATCTCGCTCCCAGTCTGAGGCCTCGTAATATTTGACCGTTTCAAAGTTGAGCAGCGAGTCTACAGCCTTGGCATTGGCCTCATTATCTTTCAGGTTCATCTGGCGCCTGTACTTGGTTCTCCACTCAGTCACAATAATGGTGGAGGCTGGAACAGCAAACACACTGCTGGTTAATGGCTCATTAATGATGGTCAAACTATAAATCATTAATGATGGTCAAACAATAAATCATTAATGATGGTCAAACAATAAATCATTAATGATGGTCAATTAATGATCTGTTAATGATAGTCAATGAATAAAGCATTAATGGTGGTCTAGTGGTCAATGAATGAAGCATTAATGGTGGTCTAGTAGTCAATGAATAAAGCATTAATGGTGGTCTAGTGGTAAATGAATGAAACATTAATGGTGGTCTAGTGGTCAATGAATGAAACATTAATGGTTGTCTAGTGGTCAATGAATGAAACATTAATGGTGGTCTAGTGGTCAATGAATGAAGCATTAATGGTGGTCTAGTTGTCAATGAATAAAGCATTAATGGTGGTCTAGTGGTCAATGAATAAAGCATTAATGGTGGTCTAGTAATCAATGAATAAAACATTAATGGTGGTCTAGTGGTCAATGAATGAAGCATTAATGGTGGTCTAGTAGTCAATGAATAAAGCATTAATGGTGGTCTAGTAGTCAATGAATAAAGCATTAATGGTGGTCTAGTGGTCAATGAATGAAGCATTAATGGTGGTCTAGTAGTCAATGAATAAAGCATTAATGGTGGTCTAGTAGTCAATGAATAAAGCATTAATGGTGGTCTAGTGGTCAATGAATGAAGCATTAATGGTGGTCTAGTAGTCAATGAATAAAGCATTAATGGTGGTCTAGTGGTCAATGAATGAAACATTAATGGTGGTCTAGTGGTCAATGAATGAAACATTAATGGTTGTCTAGTGGTCAATGAATGAAACATTAATGGTGGTCTAGTGGTCAATGAATGAAGCATTAATGGTGGTCTAGTTGTAAATGTGTTAAAAAACTTGTTGGCTTACCGAGGTAGAGAGCCATACTGAGAAATACAATGATCCCAAAGAGGTAGTTAAAGAATGTGATGAAATAAACAATAGCAATGATGATGTCGGCAATTGTTGGTAGGATCTGAAACACCAGGTAACTGGGAACAAAATCATCAGGACACATGTCAAAGGTGACATCAAGACAAAGTGACATGAAGACACAGTGACATGAAGACACAGTGACATGAAGACACAGTGACATGAAGACACAGTGACATGAAGACACAGTGACAAGAAGACACAGTGACATGAAGACACAGTGACATGAAGACACAGTGACATGAAGACACAGTGACATGAAGACACAGTGACATGAAGACACAGTGACATGAAGACACAGTGACAAGAAGACACAGTGACATGAAGACACAGTGACATGAAGACACAGTGACATGAAGACACAGTGACATGAAGACACAGTGACATGAAGACACAGTGACAAGAAGACACAGTGACATGAAGACACAGTGACATGAAGACACAGTGACATGAAGACACAGTGACATGAAGACACAGTGACATGAGGACACAGTGACATCAATAGACCTACACAGTGACATGAAGACACAGTGACATGAAGACACAGTGACATGAGGACACAGTGACATGAAGACACAGTGACATGAAGACACAGTGACATGAAGACACAGTGACATCAATAGGCCTACACAGTGACATGAAGACACAGTGACATCAATAGACCTACACAGTGACATGAAGACACAGTGACATGAAGACACAGTGACATGAGGACACACCCTTGCTGGCTACCGTGATGCCATGTAAGACTGACCTGAGTAGACTGTTGATGCTGTTGGTACCACGGTCAACAACCCTCAAGACCTCCCCAGTTTTCCTGCCCAGATGCCAGCGTAATGAGAGGCTGTAACAAGTACATACAGATGTCATGTGGTCATACACATGTGTGTGTGTGCTACACGTGTGTGTGTGTGTGTGTGTGTGTGGTACAGATGAATGTATTACCGACCTATGAAGATGTGAGAAAAGCTTGATTTGAATAGCCCTAGTGGTGAACTGTTGGACTTTGATCCACAACAAACTTCTGGTGTCATTGAGCAGCCCTGATGTTCCTGCAAACATTTCAAACACTGCTGTAATAAATGTACCCCAGCTCCTACAGCTGTGCCCCAGCTCCTACAGCTGTGCCCCAGCTCCTACAGCTGTACCCCAGCTCCTACAGCTGTGCCCCAGCTCCTACAGCTGTGCCCCAGCTCCTACAGCTGTACCCCAGCTCCTACAGCTGTGCCCCAGCTCCTACAGCTGTGCCCCAGCTCCTACAGCTGTGCCCCAGCTCCTACAGCTGTGCCCCAGCTCCTACAGCTGTGCCCCAGCTCCTACAGCTGTGCCCCAGCTCCTACAGCTGTGCCCCAGCTCCTACAGCTGTGCCCCAGCTCCTACAGCTGTGCCCCAGCTCCTACAGCTGTACCCCAGCTCCTACAGCTGTGCCCCAGCTCCTACAGCTGTGCCCCAGCTCCTACAGCTGTGCCCCAGCTCCTACTGCTGTGCCCCAGCTCCTACAGCTGTACCCCAGCTCCTACAGCTGTGCCCCAGCTCCTACAGCTGTACCCCAGCTCCTACAGCTGTGCCCCAGCTCCTACAGCTGTGCCCCAGCTCCTACTGCTGTGCCCCAGCTCCAACAGCTGTGCCCCAGCTCCTACAGCTGTGCCCCAGCACCTACAGCTGTGCCCCAGCTCCTACAGCTGTGCCCCAGCTCCTACAGCTGTGCCCCAGCTCCTACAGCTGTACCCCAGCTCCTACAGCTGTGCCCCAGCTCCTACAGCTGTGCCCCAGCTCCTACAGCTGTGCCCCAGCTCCTACAGCTGTGCCCCAGCTCCTACAGCTGTGCCCCAGCTCCTACAGCTGTGCCCCAGCTCCTACAGCTGTGCCCCAGCTCCTACAGCTGGGCCCCAGCTCCTACAGCTGTACCCCAGCTCCTACAGCTGTGCCCCAGCTCCTACAGCTGTGCCCCAGCTCCTACAGCTGTACCCCAGCTCCTACAGCTGGGCCCCAGCTCCTACAGCTGTACCCCAGCTCCTACTGCTGTATCCCAGCTGTGTACTATCAAAATTCAGAGACTGATGTACTAACCTGTACCACCGCCCTTGAGGAAGGTCAATGCTATAAAGATGAGAATATAATCCCATCTATACTCCATCTTTCCATCTGGGTGCTGGGGGTCATAGGTCAGGCTGTTGACTGAAACACAAACAATCAAGTTTTCATTTCTCAATTTTTGTTGACTGAAACACAAACAATCAAGTTTTCATTTCTCAATTTTGACCCATATCTAATGCAGAGATTTTCTTCAAACTTTTTAGATACATTGATCTCTGTAAATAACACAAAATTATATTTTTAAAAATTTTATTAAATTTTAAATCCTTCATTAAAAATTAATCACAAGATGACTCAATTCATCACCAGAAAGGAAATTGTGGTATCAATATTTTTTGTCGCTATCTCCGTTGGTATTTATATCAATTAAAAAAAGAGAATATTCGGACTTAATATGATTTTAGTCGGACTCAGTCCATGTTTAATGTTACTTTCAACTATTTTTATTTTCTGCTTATCACGTACACAAGGTATAAAACCTGACTCACATAATAGGTTCAAGCAATATCTTTACCCTGCTTTTTTTATGCTGTGATATTTGTATTATATTAATGGACCTTTTGGAGGGCCTATTTCAACAATTAAAGTAAAAATGCATCTAAACTGTCTTTAAAATTATAATTAATATAAACCAAAGGTGATAATTATTAAATGAACTGTGGTTGATTAAATTTAAAAAGTATTTGGGAACAAAATTGACTTATTAACAAATGAGATATTTTTAAAATACAATATTTTAAGAGTGCATTTGTCCTGTTGTAACATGCTAAGTGTTTACATTGACTCTTCTTTCATATCATATTAGTTCATCTTGCTAAAGAATAAACTTAAAACCTTGTAAAAAATTGCAGGGTGTGATTCGGCACCCTGGGCTTTCCCATTGAGCGCAATGACGCCTACATTCGTTCTGAACCGTGTGATAAACAATGGATAAGATGGGCATTATAGTCGCCAGCTAAATTGAATCAGGAGCTTCCGCCGGCAAAACGTCTGGGTGCGATTTGGCGCCCTGCGCTATCCTATGAGCACCATGGCACCTACGTTAGTGTTAAGGAGCACATTACAATATTGACACGGTGGCACATTCGATGATTAAACCGAGCGAGTAGCGGTATGCGGCGCCCCTCTATGTCCCCGACACCTGGGCGGTCGATGAATGTGTGCTCTACCTCACTACTACGGAGAGTGATGTGCTCTACCTCACTACTACGGAGAGTGATTAACGTAATGAATGTGTGCTCTACCTCACTACTACGGAGAGTGATTAACGTAATGAATGTGTGCTCTACCTCACTACTACGGAGAGTGATTAACGTAATGAATGTGTGCTCTACCTCACTACTACGGAGAGTGATGTGCTCTACCTCACTACTACGGAGAGTGATTAACGTAATGAATGTGTGCTCTACCTCACTACTACGGAGAGTGATTAACGTAATGAATGTGTGCTCTACCTCACTACTACGGAGAGTGATGTGCTCTACCTCACTACTACGGAGAGTGATTAACGTAATGAATGTGTGCTCTACCTCACTACTACGGAGAGTGATTAACGTAATGAATGTGTGCTCTACCTCACTACTACGGAGAGGGATTAACGTAATGAATGTGTGCTCTACCTCACTACTACGGAGAGTGATTAACGTAATGAATGTGTGCTCTACCTCACTACTACGGAGAGGGATTAACGTAATGAATGTGTGCTCTACCTCACTACTACGGAGAGTGATTAACGTAATGAATGTGTGCTCTACCTCACTACTACGGAGAGGGATTAACGTAATGAATGTGTGCTCTACCTCACTACTACGGAGAGTGATTAACGTAATGAATGTGTGCTCTACCTCACTACTACGGAGAGTGATTAACGTAATGAATGTGTGCTCTACCTCACTACTACGGAGAGTGATTAACGTAATGAATGTGTGCTCTACCTCACTACTACGGAGAGTGATTAACGTAAACTCAAGGCTTTCATACACCACACCCTGGGGTGTGCTAGGATGTAGTGTAGGTAAAACCCTAACCCTGGGGTGTGCTAGGATGTAGTGTAGGTAAAACCCTAACCCTGGGGTGTGCTAGGATGTAGTGTAGGTAAAACCCTAACCCTGGGGTGTGCTAGGATGTAGTGTAGGTAAAACCCTAACCCTGGGGTGTGCTAGGATGTAGTGTAGGTAAAACCCTAACCCTGGGGTGTGCTAGGATGTAGTGTAGGTAAAACCCTAACCCTGGGGTGTGCTAGGATGTAGTGTAGGTAAAACCCTAACCCTGGGGTGTGCTAGGATGTAGTGTAGGTAAAACCCGTGCCCCGACAAATATTATCCAAAAAATAAAGCCCAGGCATTGTTTATATTTAAATCTCAGTTTTAGAAAACAAGATCACGTGTCTAAGAATATGGGATTGGTAACACATTGATGGAACCCTCTTAAAATATTTTCTTAGGCTTTATTCTATCCCCGGGGCAAGGCTCTGGGGCTGGCACGCCAGTTTATATATATGTATATAAAGAAATGTCATGACTGGAGTAGAAAAGTGGTTCAACTAGTAATGCAACTAACCAATAAGCACGCGAGTTTATATATATGTTTATAAAGAAATGTCATGACTGGAGTAGAAAAGTGGTTCAACTAGTAATGCAACTAACCAATAAGCTTGCTGTAGATAGGAACAAAAACATTAACCGCTCGGCCCAGGGCTAGAAGAATCAAACAGACACCAACCACAAACTGGAGGAGAGAGCTGCCTTTTGGCCAGACATACGGCAACATCATCTTCATTTTAGCAAACACATTACGCCATGTGGAGCCTTGAGACCCTGACTTGAAGAGAAGTAGATATTAGAAGATGACCAGTTGATAGACAGACATTAGAAGATGACCAGTTGATAGACAGACATTAGAAGATGACCAGTTGATAGACAGACATTAGAAGATGACCAGTTGATAGACAGACATTAGAAGATGACCAGTTGATAGACAGACAATAGAAGATGACCAGTTGATAGACAGACATTAGAAGAAGACCAGTTGATAGACAGACATTAGAAGATGACCAGTTGATAGACAGACATTAGAAGATGACCAGTTGATAGACAGACATTAGAAGATGACCAGTTGATAGACAGACATTAGAAGATGACCAGTTGATAGACAGACAATAGAAGATGACCAGTTGATAGACAGACATTAGAAGAAGACCAGTTGATAGACAAACATTAGAAGATGACCAGTTGATAGACAGACATTAGAAGATGACCAGTTGATAGACAGACATTAGAAGATGACCAGTTGATAGACAGACATTAGAAGATGACCAGTTGATAGACAGACATTAGAAGATGACCAGTTGACAGACAGACATTAGAAGATGACCAGTTGACAGACAGACATTAGAAGATGACCAGTTGATAGACAGACATTAGAAGATGACCAGTTGATAGACAGACATTAGAAGATGACCAGTTGATAGACAGACATTAGAAGATGACCAGTTGATAGACAGACATTAGAAGATGACCAGTTTATAGACAGACATTAGAAGATGACCAGTGGATAGACAGACATTAGAAGATGACCAGTGGATAGACAGACATTAGAAGATGACCAGTTGACAGGCATTAGAAGATGACCAGTTGATAGACAGACATTAGAAGATGACCAGTTGATAGACAGACATTAGAAGATGACCAGTTGATAGACAGACATTAGAAGATGACCAGTTGATAGACAGACATTAGAAGATGACCAGTTGATAGACAGACATTAGAAGATGACCAGTTGATAGACAGACATTAGAAGATGACCAGTTGATAGACAGACATTAGAAGATGACCAGTTGATAGACATTAGAAGATGACCAGTTGATAGACATTAGAAGATGACCAGTTGATAGACATTAGAAGATGACCAGTTGATAGACAGACATTAGAAGATGACCAGTTGATAGACAGACATTAGAAGATGACCAGTTGATAGACATTAGAAGATGACCAGTTGATAGACATTAGAAGATGACCAGTTGATAGACAGACATTAGAAGATGACCAGTTGATAGACAGACATTAGAAGATGACCAGTTGATAGACAGACATTAGAAGATGACCAGTTGATAGACAGACATTAGAAGATGACCAGTTGATAGACATTAGAAGATGACCAGTTGATAGACAGACATTAGAAGATGACCAGTTGATAGACAGACATTGACACCAACCTCTGGGTCAGCAACAGCAGTGTAGGATGACCTTTGAATGGATGGACCAATCAAGCCTAGGACCAAGAGACAGAATGCCAGCAGGTACCTCAGTACAAACAGTCCCAGCTCCAAGCCATCTTCAGCACTGTGGGCACACAAACATTTTTATAGCAATTTTAGTAGCGCATATTAGGTGAAGGCTTAGGTTATAGCAGCTTCAATTTTAGTAGCGCATATTAGGTGAAGGCTTAGTTTATAGCAGCTTCAATTTTAGTAGCGCATATTAGGTGAAGGCTTAGTTTATATCAGCTTCAATTTTAGTAACGCATATTAGGCGAAGGCTTAGTTTATAGCAGCTTCAATTTGCAACCTTTTTTATTGGGAGAATGTTTACTACTTTATGCATTTGTGACCTGTTTGATGACATTTTTTCAGCTTTTACTATAATGACCTGTTCACTGACCTTTTCAACTATTATGACCTCTTCACTGACCTTTTTAACTATTATGACCTGTTCACTGACCTTTTCAACTACAATGACCTGTTCACTGACCTTTTCAACTACAATGACCTGTTCACTGACCTTTTCAACTATTATGACCTGTTCACTGACCTTTTCAACTATTATGACCTCTTCAATGACCTTTTCAACTATTATGACCTCTTCACTGACCTTTTCAACTATTATGACCTCTTCACTGACCTTTTCAACTACAATGACCTGTTCACTGACCTTTTCAACTACTATGACCTGTTCAATGACCTTTTCAACTATTATGACCTCTTCACTGACCTTTTCAACTATTATGACCTGTTCACTGACCTTTTCAACTATTATGACCTCTTCACTGACCTTTTCAACTATTATGACCTCTTCACTGACCTTTTCAACTATAATGACCTCTTCACTGACCTTTTCAACTACAATGACCTGTTCACTGACCTTTTCAACTATTATGACCTGTTCACTGACCTTTTCAACTATTATGACCTGTTCACTGACCTTTTCAACTATTATGACCTGTTCACTGACCTTTTCAACTATTATGACCTCTTCACTGACCTTTTCAACTATTATGACCTGTTCACTGACCTTTTCAACTATTATGACCTGTTCAATGACCTTTTCAACTATTATGACCTGTTCACTGACCTTTTCAACTATTATGACCTGTTCACTGACCTTTTCAACTATTATGACCTCTTCAACTATTATGACCTGTTCACTGACCTTTTCAACTATTATGACCTCTTCACTGACCTTTTCAACTATTATGACCTGTTCACTAACCTTTTCAACTATTATGACCTGTTCAATGACCTTTTCAACTACAATGACCTGTTCAATGACCGTTTCAACTATTATGACCTGTTCACTGACCTTTGCAGCTTCCACCACCAAGTGGGATTGTTCCAGGAAATAAACATGAGATTCTCGCGGACAAACAACAAGCCGTAGAAGAGAAGTAGGACAAGGCCTTGACCTCTAGTTGGTAAACTTGGTAACATACTTCGTCTCTCCATAGCCAGTAGCCACAGTGACATAATACAGGCACAAATGATGGTACACGCCTCTAGTACCTGTACAAGTAGACTCAATACAGGTACAAATGATGGTACACGCCTCTAGTACCTGTACAAGTAGACTCAATACAGGTACAAATGATGGTAGACTCAATACAGGTACAAATGATGGTAGACTCAATACAGGTACAAATGATGGTAGACTCAATACAGGTACAAATGATGGTAGACTCAATACAGGCACAAATGATGGTAGACTCAATACAGGTACAAATGATGGTAGACTCAATACAGGCACAAATGATGGTAGACTCAATACAGGTACAAATGATGGTACAAGTAGATTCAATACAGGTACAAATGATGGTACAAGTAGACTCAATACAGGTACAAATGATGGTAGACTCAATACAGGTACAAATGATGGTAGACTCAATACAGGTACAAATGATGGTAGACTCAATACAGGTACAAATGATGGTAGACTCAATACAGGTACAAATGATGGTACAAGTAGACTCAATACAGGTACAAATGATGGTAGACTCAATACAGGTACAAATGATGGTAGACTCAATACAGGTACAAATGATGGTACAAGTAGATTCAATACAGGTACAAATGATGGTAGACTCAATACAGGTACAAATGATGGTAGACTCAATACAGGTACAAATGATGGTAGACTCAATACAGGTACAAATGATGGTAGACTCAATACAGGTACAAATGATGGTAGACTCAATACAGGTATACAAATGATGGTAGACTCAATACAGGTACAAATGATGGTAGACTCAATACAGGTACAAATGATGGTACAAGTAGACTCAATACAGGTACAAATGATGGTACAAGTAGACTCAATACAGGTACAAATGATGCTAGATCAGGGGTCGGCAACTTTCGGCTTGCGAGCCGCATGCAGCTCTTTTAATGTCTTTTTGCGGCTCTTCAGCTCCTTGCACAAAAGTTTATAAATATTATTTATTTAATTTTTAAAACTCATAAAAATATTAGTCTGCAACACTCTGTAATGTACGATATAATAATACATATAACCAATAGAAACTTACTATTCTATTAAAATATTTAGTTACTCCCTATTTCAAAATACTTCCTTGTTTTCTAAAATTGAATTATATGAAATGTAAACGATGTCTGCGCTTGGATCATGTTTATCGGTATAACTACACTACAGTCCATAAAAGCCTTGAGTGTACATTAATCACTCACCGTAATATCACCGTTAATCACTATCCGCCAAAGTGTCGGAGACGGAAAGTCGAATTTCATGTGCCGTAGGCGTGTAGTGCTTGCGGGATAGCCCTGGGCGCCCAATCGCACCCTGCAGAGACGCTGGAGGACGCGCCTGATTTGATTAAATGAGCGACTATAGCAACTCATTGTATTCATAGCCTATCGCGCTGTTTAAAATGAACGTAGGTGTCATGGTGCTCATGGGTACGCCAGGTGTCAATCTGCAATCGACTTTTATTTTTATATACCATATACAGGGAAGAATAGAATCGAGCCCTGCCGAAGAGTCAACCGAATTAGCCTTTTTTTCACAGATACCTCCCAGCAACTTCCTTAAGTTTTGTGGCGATCGGATGAAAGGTGTAGTCAGTGGCGTCGTAGGTCGGGTGTCACCCGGTGCGGCAACTCATGGTGTAACCCCCCCCCCCCCCCCCACTTTTGGGGATCGTCATTATGTACTTAAAATACTTTTTATTTGTAATTAACCATTTATTGAATTGGCAAAAAATATTCTACATTTCTGCATTTTTTGGTCTGGGTGTCAGACCCTATATGGTGTCACCCCCGGCCCCCTCCTTGCGACTCCTCTGGGTGTAGTAGTGAATATATATATGTAATATATATATAATCCTAATCAAAGATTATAATAGTGAAAGAAAAATGTTAGTGGCTCTTTAAAATCTGGGAAATTTTGTAATTTGCACATTTTGGCTCTTTCGTCTCAAAAGGTTGCTGACCCCTGTGCTAGACTCAATATAGGTACCAATGATGGTTCAACCATGAATTAAACCATCCACCAAAATACAAAAGATTCATACACATCAATCAACAGATCCATACACATCAATCAACAGATCCATACACATCCATCAACAGATCCATACACATCCATCAACAGATCCATACACATCCATCAACAGATCCATACACATCAACCAACAGATCCATACACATCCATCAACAGATCCATACACATCCATCAACAGATCCATACACATCCATCAACAGATCCATACACATCAATCAACAGATCCATACACATCCATCAACAGATCCATACACATCAATCAACAGATCCATACACATCCATCAACAGATCCATACACATCAATCAACAGATCCATACACATCCATCAACAGATCCATACACATCAATCAACAGATCCATACACATCCATCAACAGATCCATACACATCCATCAACAGATCCATACACATCAACCAACAGATCCTTACACATCCATCAACAGATCCATACACATCAACCAACAGATCCATACACATCAACCAACAGATCCATACACATCCATCAACAGATCCATACACATCCATCAACAGATCCATACACATCCATCAACAGATCCATACACATCAATCAACAGATCCATACACATCCATCAACAGATCCATACACATCCATCAACAGATCCATACACATCCATCAACAGATCCATACACATCCATCAACAGATCCATACACATCAATCAACAGATCCATACACATCCATCAACAGATCCATACACATCCATCAACAGATCCATACACATCCATCAACAGATCCATACACATCCATCAACAGATCCATACACATCCATCAACAGATCCATACACATCAATCAACAGATCCATACACATCCATCAACAGATCCATACACATCCATCAACAGATCCATACACATCCATCAACAGATCCATACACATCCATCAACAGATCCATACACATCCATCAACAGATCCATACACATCAATCAACAGATCCATACACATCCATCAACAGATCCATACACATCAATCAACAGATCCATACACATCCATCAACAGATCCATACACATCCATCAACAGATCCATACACATCCATCAACAGATCCATACACATCCATCAACAGATCCATACACATCCATCAACAGATCATACACATTACCAAGAGATGAACACATACCTGGTAGCCAAGAAGGATTTTATTCTTGAGGTAAACATCAGAGAGTATCATGTGCACCAGGGCCTCCAGCATCAACACAATGGTGCAGGCTATCTGGGGACAACAGCATCTGGGGGTCAGCTTATGGGGTGTGGGGGTCAGCCCATGGGTGTGGGGGTCAGCTTATGGGGTGTGGGGGTCAGCTTATGGGGTGTGGGGGTCAGCTTATGGGGTGTGGGGGTCAGCCCATGGTGTGTGGGGGTCAGCTTATGGGGTGTGGGGTCAGCTTATGGGGTGTGGGGGTCAGCTCATGGGGTGTGGGGTCAGCCCATGGGGTGTGGGGGTCAGCCCATGGGGTGTGGGGGTCAGCCCATGGGGTGTGGGGGTCAGCTTATGGGGTGTGGGGTCAGCCCATGGGGTGTGGGGGTCAGCCCATGGGGTGTGGGGGTCAGCTTATGGGGTGTGGGGGTCAGCTCATGGGGTGTGGGGGTCAGCTTATCAGGGTTCATGCTCAAAAGTTCAAATAAAATTCCAGGAGTTTTCCAGGACTTTTCCAGGAGTTTAAAAAAAAATTCAAGGAGATTTTAAAAACAAAAAAGAAACCCAATTTGTACATTTTAAAAAAAAGCGTACTTAATAATACATTTAATTAGCTAAGCCAATGCAAAAATTTAATTTCAGTAAATGTAATCAATATATTAGTTACATATTAGGATAGAATAGATAGAGGCTATCAATCTGACTACAGACCAGTTTGAATTTTCAAAATCTGACCATAAGCAAAAAAGTTATGATTTTTTTTTTGTTATTAAAAAAAAAATAGCAGATTTTTCAGACAACCGGGATAGACCATGAAAGAGGAAAAATACTGGGAGGGTATGGACCAAATTTTAAAGAGTTTTTCACTATAAAAGAGGTATAAATGCAAGCAGACTTCACCTATTAATATCATTTCGTGATATTTTATTGATTTTTCGATGCCACATCCAATGATGCTAGGCTAGTCGGCCAACCCGATGAACGTGTCAGACGAATATTATGTATTTTCAGAGACAAAAGTCTGGCAAGATTTCTTGATCTATGCCCAAGGATTAGTAACATCAACTCCACAAAGTGAAGGGGGAAGGGAGGTGGGGCATGAAACCACACGAGCTGCTCGGGTAGCGTACGGGTGTTACACAACATCAAAGGCGCCGACCGTCGGCTTGTCGCGTCACGGAGTAGTGGGGGCGGGTTGAGCTATGGATGTTACGTTGGGTGTTACATACCGTGTAGGATGGTCAGTTGTCTTCCCCCACCCACCCCAGCCCATTTTGGTCGATTTGGCAAGCTAGTATTCAGCGTATTAACAATTTTTAGTCAACCGAAAAAAGAGCCACTGGAAAAATTAAATTTATTTTCTATAGCCATTTTTACGAAAAATTAATGTATAAAATAAAATAATGAAGCGTTACGCGAATCAGCATTGTTTGATCGGGTCGCAGCTATCCGGGTTTTCTAAAGAAGATTAATTTTGAGCCGTAAATACTACTACAATTTGTTTTTGCTGTTTCAATAGTTTAAGACAAAATTATGAAACATGCCTGTCTACTTTAAAAATCCAAAAGCCGACAAGTCAAACACGGGAACACATGTAGGCCTATCTATCTTTAGAAATTGTTTATAGTATCATCCAATCGGGTCAATCGCCTAGCGTCACGTGACCACACACTCGGCTGTGCCACACGATGTGTAGATCATGGCAGTGCGATTCAGTCGGACGACGGCCGATGCGTTTATTTTTATTTTCGTCCCATTTAAAAACTACTATTCAATTATTGGCGGAACAAAATCAAATAATTTCGGTCGGGTTTTGCGCCGCGGGTTAATAAAATTTCATGAGATTTCAGGAGAATTCCAGGAGGTTTTTATATTTTTTCAAATTCCAGGAGAATTCCAGGAGATTTTTACGTTTTTTAAGATTCCAGGAGTTTTCCAGGACCTCCTGGAATTTCAGGAGGCCGCACGAACCCTGGCTTATGGGGTGTGGGGGTCAGCTTATGGGGTGTGGGGGTCAGCCCATGGGGTGTAGGGGTCAGCCCATGGGGTGTGGGGGTCAGCTTAAGGGGTGTGGCGGTCAGCTTATGGGGTGTGGGGGTCAGCTTATGGGGTGTGGGGGTCAGCTTATGGGGTGTGGGGGTCAGCTTATGGGGTGTGGGGGTCAGCCCATGGGGTGTAGGGGTCAGCCCATGGGGTGTGGGGGTCAGCTTAAGGGGTGTGGCGGTCAGCCCATGGGGTGTGGGGGTCAGCTTATGGGGTGTGGGGGGTGTGGGGGTCAGCTTAAGGGGTGTGGCGGTCAGCTTATGGGGTGTGGGGGTCAGCTTATGGGGTGTGGGGGTCAGCTTATGGGGTGTGGTGGTCAGCTTATGGGGTGTGGGGGTCAGCTTATGGGGTGTGGGGGTCAGCTTATGGGGGGTGGGGGTCAGCATGGGGTTTGGGGGTCAGCTTATGGGGTGTGGGGGTCAGCTTATGGGGTGTGGGGGTCAGCTTATGGGGTGTGGGGGTCAGCTTATGGGGTGTGGGGGTCAGCCCATGGGGTGTGGGGGTCAGCCCATGGGGTGTGGGGGTCAGCCCATGGGGTGTTGAGGTCAGCTTATGGGGGGTGGGGGTCAGCTTATGGGGTGTGGGGGTCAGCTTATGGGGTGTGGCGGTCAGCCCATGGGGTGTGGGGGTCAGCTTATGGGGTGTGGGGGTCAGCTTATGGGGTGTGGCTGTCAGCCCATGGGGTGTGGGGGTCAGCTTATGGGGTGTGGGGGTCAGCTTATGGGGTGTGGGGGTCAGCTTATGGGGTGTGGCTGTCAGCCCATGGGGTGTGGGGGTTAGCTTATGGGGTGTGGGGGTCAGCTTATGGGGTGTGGGGGTCAGCTTATGGGGTGTGGGGGTCAGCCCATGGGGTGTAGGGGTCAGCCCATGGGGTGTGGGGGTCTGCACGCAGAATGCATAGCCTGGCTAACCAGTTACAAACATGGGACATACCTGTCCAAGATATCCCCAGCCCACAGGTGTCCTGTGTAGACCTATGGCATATCTGCTAAATAAGACACACTGAGCACTTCCTGCCAGTAGGATGAACAGAAAAAGAATTGTAGATGATGTGGACTCATAGAAACAGCGGTTCAGGCCATTATCTGTCCAAGCTTCTGCCCAGCTTGTGCTGTTGCCACAAAACTCCATCTTTCAAATAGGGTTAGGCTTCTATTACTGAGGGGCAGCAGGACAGTTTCTTTAATAGGCCATAGCTTACACTTCTAAGAACAGTGATGGCTAAAGCTTGAATGTGCACATTTGATCAACATAAACTCTGGGGTGATGACACTGAAAAAATGTCAAATAGAAACTTATTTTAAGATGCCCTTAATTGAAGAAATTAACATTTCATCTCAAATTTTAGCCAACATAAAATTCAATCATACTTTTAATTAATCATTTTAATTCAAAAGAGTGTTTCCCACAATTACATATTCACCTCAAAAGTCAACTAAAAAAGGCCTAGAACTAGGCTTTAAGTCCAATTATTAAATAATTTAACATAGAGGCCATAAATCATGTACTCAGACTAGAGATGCCTGCAACTTAATATTCCACTTTACCTAGTAGATCTTTAGACACTTATGGCAGTTATCAATTTTAGATAGATCGGTCGACCGACTGGGTCACTGGGAGTTTAGCAGGAATATAGTATATGTCTTCCCTCCACCCCCCCCCCCCCCCTCACTTCTTCCCATTCAAGAAAATTAAAAACAGACCTAGTTCTGGTCATTTTTTTAAAGTTCACATAGGCTTATAGACTTAAATCTACTACCACACTTGCTAGATAGCGGTAATAACAATTTAAAAAAGAACACTTCGATCTAGCAGTAGTTAGATCTACGACTATCATCTGACCTACAACTGACACTGTACTTTGTCTTTATATAAGTAGGCCTACTAGAATAGATCTGTTACATTCACTAATATTTTATTCCTTTTTTTTAACCTGCAGATACCTTTGGTTTGGTGTTGAAATAAAACTATTTAACATTGATTTGCTATGAAGAAATAAAAATCAGGCAGTCCTGATATCTATTTTTTTAATTTTTAGATCGTGTTTGACCTCGAGAATAGATTTAGCTGACCACTAGAAATAGCAGCCTAACTGCCAAAATCTAAAATTTTTCCAGATCTATTGAGATTTGTTCTAGACTCAATCTAGGATTCTAGAGGTAGACTAAACTATTACCTATAAGATTACTAATCTAGATTTTTAACTTTTAATTAGAATTTAAAGTAATCTATCATTTTAGGTGCGTAAAACTGGCCGAGGCTAGTAAAGTAATGTGAAAAAAGTTACCTCATTTTTACGGCTTTAATACAAGTATATTACTATATTCATTGTGATATATTTGTGTCTAACTCTAATGTAATAGGTAACAGAATAATAAACCAAAAGCAATGGCTAAATATATCAGACATTAAGTTTAAACAGCGTTCATAGCGAGCAAGATTAGCTATATTAACAGCGACCATCTGTAAATTAGAGTGGTTTCCCCTGAATCTCCTACTATAATTTTATCACAAAAAAACCATGAGTAAGTACTAAGACGGCTGCTAAAGTAACTAGATCTAGATCCTAGATCTAGATCTAAATAAGCTTGGTTGCATCTGATGAAAACATAGCTAGTCTTGATTTATTACTTAAAAGTTAAAAGTATTTTTTACAATTGTTTAAAAACATGCACATGATTGATACTTTGAAACAGTTTTGAAACTTTAAAAACATAAATCCTCCTAAAAATGTGAAATAATTACTAAAATTTAATGAGTCACCTTTGTTTCACATTACTTGATGATTTAATGTACCTGCTAAAACAATAGATTAGTAGTCCTAATAATTTAATAGTTAATAGCTAGATCTAGTAAGAATATCTAGATTAATATTTAATTTAATAGAAAAAGTAAAAAGTAGTTCTTGACTAAAAAATTTTAATTATTTATGAATCTAGATTATTAGCCTATAATTAATTAGTAATTAGTATTAGGCCTAGTAAGTTAGATATTATTAGTAATAATAATAGATCTAGAATCTAGATGTAGTATTAGTAATTATTTAAGTAATTAATAATTAATATTATTAGTATTACATTAGGCCTAGAGAAATCTAGATATTTTTTTATTATATAAAATGCTATTAGTATTAGATCTACTATTATTAATAATCTAGAATCTATCTAGATCTCTAGATTAGATTCCACTCTAGTCTTGATTCTAGACCTAGATCTAGACTATAAAACTATATCTCTGTCTAGTAACTACTTTCAACTACTTTGCACATGTCATATGATATTTAAATTTTGATTAGTTTCACTTTTTCTGACCTTCCACTGCTAGAGTCTAGACTCTAGTCTAGATCTAGATTCTAGAACTTATTTTAAAAAGCACCTTTCGTTCAAACTTTCCGTTCAAGTTTTTGAGTCAGATGTAGAATCTATCTAAAACTAGATCTAGATCTAGATCTAAGTAGATTCTAGATCTATGGCTAGGTTCCTTGCTGAACTTTAAGTTTTTAGAATAGTTTAGTTAAGTAGATCTAGACTTCTAGATCTAGAAATCTGGATTCATGACTTAAAAAAAAATCTTCCTTTAGATCTAGATCTAGATATCTATAAAATTAAATCTAAACGTTTTAAAAATAGTACTGACCATTCAGTTTAGTTTTTAACAACACTCCGACACTGACTGAATCTGTAAGATAAGGAGTAGACTCTAGACTAGATCTAGATCTAAAATAATTTTAGATCCATCGCTTATACAATTTCACTTTGTCATCATGACAACACGTTTTCACACGGAAGATCTAGATCTAGATTTCTATAGATCTAGAGCAGGGGTCTCCAAATTTTCAGCCCGAGGGCCGCATATTAGCTATCAAATATCAGTTCGGGGGCCAGTTTCTCCCCACCGAAGAACATATACCCCCCTTTCCCCACCCCCAACGAAATATAAATTATATAGTAATATATAGAAATATAGATCTATATAAATTTCAGCGACTCATCAATTGCAATTGAAAAATGGCGAAACTTGCTTTTTCCACTGCTTAAGTCACAATGTTTTCATCAATGTCTGCAACACGGCGAGCTACATTTTCAGATCGTTTTGAATTTTCTGGGCAAAGTTCCTCAGCCACCTCCAACAAACATTTTTTTTTGTGGACAAAAAGATCTAGATCTAGCTGTAACGGTACTCAAGTTATCGTGTTTACACACAGACGGACAGACACACACACAGACATACGGACAAGATTGCAAAATTATGTTTTTCCGTATCAGCGAGGTGTAAAACGTCGATATTTGTAAAAATCTCGACTTTTTTTTTTGCACGATTACATTAATACTTTCTCTATACTTCGTATATACGAGAAAGTAAAAATAAGCGTCATCTGAGTTTAGATGGAAGTTTGTAGTAGGCGCTAAGTCATTTATGCCAGTCTTTTTACTTTCTCGTATATACGAAGTATAGAGAAAGTATTGTAATAACATGAAATTTTTTACAGTTTTAACCTTTTTACTCATCAGTCCTTCATCACATCCGAAGTATAGTGGACTTATTTTAATCAGGCAAAAATTATTAATACAAATATATAAACATTTTGGCGTTTTATGCGTTATCGAGTGGTAAAAACTGGACTTTGCAATTGTGTCCGTATGTGTGTGTGTGTGTGTGTGTGTAAACACGATAACTTAATTACCGTTACAGCTAGGTTGATGAAATTTCATATATAAGTATTTTATCAAAATCGTAGATCCTGAAAAATTTTGAGCGATTTCCGATAACCGGAAGTGGTACTTTTTCAAATTTGAATTTTTAAAAAGCCTATAACTTGAGTACTATTTCAGATAGATAAATGAAATTTCACATGTAAGTAAAAGATCTAATTCTCTACCTTGTGTCAAATTTTGAGTAATTTCCGTTGACCGGAAGTAGTAATTTACGCTACTTCCGATTTCTCAAAAAACTAATGTCAATTTTTAAAGTACTAATAATATTGCGCACCATTATGCACTTTTTTATTTGGCGTTCACTTGGTGTGCCATTCTTTTGTCTACGAGATTTTATTCTATTTTTAAAACTTTAAGTATTTAAAATGGATTAAAAATCATGTCTATAGCCCGAGTTCCCATCCCCTGTTATTTTATATAAGAATATTCGAGAAAGTTTTGGGGAGATCACTCCCGGTTTATTATAGCTATACGATTCTTTAGTATGTCTTATTTAAATAATAATTAAGAATTTCAATTGCTTTTTAATTTACTTAGTACAAAAATATTTAAATGAGCTTTATGGACACCCCTATTTTAAAAAGGGCAGTAAGTCATGGAAGTATCTTTCAAACTACAGCTCTTGTAGGTTTTAAAATATTCTTCTACGCAACAGTGTTACTGTTAGTTACTGTAGAACAATCACTGCTATAGTAGACCTGTTAACTTTTTATAAAACCACCATCAAGGTGCACGAAAAACATTATTGAAGAAAATAAAATTCATTTTGTTTACGGGATGGGTAAGCTAAGACGACAACTTCATTTTGTGTTAAAAAGAAAATAAGTCTGATTATTAAGAGAGGGCTGTTTCGTGAAATATTTTATATAAAAAATTGCTTTTGTAGATCTATATATTTTTGTATTTATTGGAAGTATACCGGCTGTAGTAAAAGATTCCAGACTACTAGACTGGACTTTGCAATTCTGTCCGTATGTCTGTGTGTCTGTCTGTGTGTAAACACGATAACTTGAGTACCGTTACAGCTAGCTTGATGAAATTTCATATATAAGTGTTTTATCAAAATCGTAGATCCTGATCAACTTTTGAGCGATTTATGATAACCGGAAGTGGTACTTTTTCTACTTTGAATTTTTCAAAAGCGTATAAGTTGCGTACTATTTTAGATAGATGCATGAAATTTCACAAGTAAGTAAAAGATCTTATTCTCTACCTTCTGTCAAATTTTGAGTAATTTCCGTTGACCGGAAGTACTAATTTACGCTATTTCCGATTTCTCAAAAAACGCATATAAATTTATAAAGTACTAATAATATCCCGCACTTTTATACACATTTTATTAGGCGTTCACTTGGTGTGGGACGGAGTGGTCTAGCGGTAGAGAGCTGTACTGCTAACCCATTAGTCTTGAGTTCGAATCCGAGTTCAAGTCAGTAGACCGTCCCTGAGTCCACCCAACTATGATGGGTACCTAACTCCTGTTAGGGAAAGTAAAGGCGGCTGGGCATAGTGCTGACCACACTATCTCTTCATATGCGAGGTCACAGAAACAAGTTGTAATAGATTGAGATAATTGTGAGGTCAAGGGAACTCACTCTTCTGTATTAGTATTATATTTATATTGTTATCTTGAGTGATGTCCCTTGTGCATTGTACTTCCGTCCCTTTCCGGTTAACAAATAAAGCTGTTTACATGTTGATGGCTTCTGTCTCCGTTGTGTAATTCTTAATCTATCACATTTTGGCGACGAGGATAAAAATCCACTAGAAAGAGCACCTACTTACGCAAAAAAGAGGTTTGCTAGAGCTTATTAGCTAAGTATTTCTAGAATAATGGCGCTGTATGGCCAAATAAATCAATTTGATTCGAATGATGAAATCATTCAAGATTACCTAGATAGGTTAAGCTTTTACCTAGAAGCTAACAACGTGACGATAGAAGCCAAAAAGAGAGCTGTTTTGTTAACAGTCATAGGGCCTCAACAATTTAGGCTACTAAAGGACTTATGCGCACCAGCTAGTCTAACTACCAAGAGCTTTAACGAGCTGAGCAAATTGCTAACAGACCACCATGCGCCTACCCCATCAAAGTTTCTATGTCGAGCTAGATTTGACAGTAGGACTCGTCAACCAAACGAGTCAATATCAGAATATGTTGCTGCTTTACGTCATTTAAGTAGATTTTGTGAATTCGGAGACACGCTGTCTGACAGATTATGTGAAAAGTTTGTGACAGGTGTAAACAGCCCTGATATTCAAAGAAAGTTGCTGCTCGAGTCAGATCTAAAATTGGAAAAAGCAATACAACTTGCAATGTCATTCCAGCAGTCATCTGATGCGGCGAGATCTTTAGCACCTTCAGAGATCCATGCAGTAAACAGCAGGTTAGTCAATAAACATCAACCCCATCAGAGCATTCCAACTTATGCTAAACAGCCTGCTCGTTCAAATCCTAGATCTAAATCTAGTAATAATTATCAAAAATGTCATCGATGCAAAGGTCCCCATGCATCTCATCGGTGCAAGTTTAAGTTAGCAACTTGTTATAAGTGCGGTAAGCAAGGTCACATTGCCAAGGCCTGCTTTGCAAAGTCTTCGTCTGTTGTTAAATCTAGCCAGTCAAGACAGTACCGCAACCAAAGGCAGCACTATGTTAACTCTCACCAAGACTACCTAACCCAACCAATGAACCACTCTACCTGTGAAAATGCTCAAACTGATTCGCAGCCGGATTTCAACCTATTCTCTGTGAAATCAATAAGTCATGCTCCCATCAATGTACCAGTTTATATCAACGGTAAGAGCATCAGCTTCCAACTTGACACTGGAGCATCTCTAACAGTCATAACAAAGAAAGATTTTGACGCTGTCACAGGAGGATCAGTGTCTCTACAGCCATGTCACAAGTGTCTAACAACATACACTGGTGACAATGTTCCGGTAATAGGAGAGTGTATGGTTCATGTAAGTTATAATGGTCAAAGTGTTAAACTTCCTCTTCTTGTGGTTGAAGGAAATGGACCACCATTACTAGGTAGGAACTGGTTAAGTGATCTTAAGTTAAATTGGGAGAGTATTTGTTCATTGAAGAATGTAAAAGAATCTAGTCTTACTTCACTAGATAGAGTTATATCTGAAAATAAATGTGTTTTTGGTAACTCTGGATTACTAAATGATAGAACAGTGAAGTTAAGCATTAAAGACACAAATCCAAGATACTGCAAAGCTAGAGTTCCACCTTATGCAATGAGGAATAAAATTGAAAATGAGCTAAGTAGATTGGAATCTAATGGCATTATAAAGAAGGTAGACTATTCCGATTGGGCAACGCCCATTGTGCCAGTGTTAAAAAAGGATGGTTCTATAAGAATTTGTGGAGATTATAAAACTACACTGAATAAGCAAATAGAGCTAAATAGGTACCCTATACCTAACATTGAGGAAATATCTTTGAATTTGGCAGGAGGAGACAAATTCACTGAATTAGACTTTAGTCATGCTTACACTCAACTAGAACTGCATCCAGATTCAAAAGTCTATACGACAATAAACACACATAAAGGACTCTACCAATATGAAAGACTATGTTTTGGCATATCATCTAGCCCTGGAATTTTCCAAGCTGTCATGGACAGTATTTTTAAGGATATTCCAAATGTTTGTGTGTACTTTGACAATGTGTACATAACTGGTAAGAATGACACTGAACATCTTAAAACACTTGATAAAGTATTGAAAATTGTTGGTGAAAAAGGTTTAAAGATAAACAAAGATAAATGTCAATTCATGCTGACAG